GCCAGCAGGGTGACGAAGGTGGCCAAGGCGGCGGTCAAGCCAAACCCACGGGCGACGGCATCCCCCCCATCGCCCAACTCAAAGTGCTCAAGCTGATGCAGCAGGACCTGAATCTGCGTACCAACGAACTGCGAGCCGACTATCAAGAGCAGGGTGACTGGACTCCCACCCTGCAAGAACGTCTGACCGAGTTGAGCGAAGAACAAGGAGTCTTAGCCGAGTTAGCCCGCGGGTTTTCGCAGCCCGAGGACTCCGCCCCCGAAGACGATCCTGAAAACCTCCCCGACCTGTTCGACGAAGACGCCTTACCCGAGTTGGATCTCAATATCCAACCTTCACAGGTGGCCTTGCCATGATGAACATCAACTATTTCAAACAGATCCCAGGGTTGCTCGTTTGCCTGGCCCTCTGCTGTAGCAGTTGGAACATAGCCATCGCGGACGAGCCAGCCAACGACGGCGGCAGTGGGCTCGACGCCCAGTTGCTCGACGGGCTCGATGACGAACTGATGAGCGATCTGGAGGAACTCGACCTGGGAGATGACATCCCGCCGCAGTCTCAGCCTGGTGATAAAAAGCCACTCGATGATTTGGACAAACAACTCATCGAAGAACTCGGCCGTGGTGCGGGCGAAGACGTGGGCACCCGCGGCGACACCGATCCACTCACCCGAATTGGCGAGCGAATGGGCGAAGTCACCCGGCTCATCAATCAGGCCGACGTGGGAGAACCCACCCGTGAAATCCAGGAAGAAATCGTCTCCGACATCGAAGCCCTCATTCGCGAGGCCCGTCGTCGCCAAGGCGGTTCTCCTTCACCGAACAACGACCAGCAACAGCAAACGGCCGACCGCTCGAAGGTCAAGCAACCCCAACAGCAGCAACAACAACCGGCTCAAGGTTCAGGCTCCGGCGAGCCAAACAATCAGCCAGCCAAAGACAGTACCGATCGGGTAGAGCAGGGCAACGTCCGCGAAGCCGACATGCAAGACATGAACGAGTTGATGCGGCAAGTCTGGGGGCACCTCCCCCAACGCGAACGCGAGCAGATGTTACAATCCACCGTCGACGTCTTCCTGCCCAAGTATTCGACCATGATCGAAGAATACTTCCGTCGCCTGGCCGAAATGCCCGAGGGAAGCCGCTAACCTCCCAGCGAGCTTGATCAATGGATTGCTCCTGTCTTAATCGAACGACTTTTGCCCTGGCATTGCTTGTCCTGGTGAATGCCTTCGCTGCCTGTTCGTCCGCAGCGGCTCAGGGCCCCCAGCCCGAGCGTACCGCCGTCGACTTCATGACTCCCCCGACACACGAGGCCATTCGATCGGGGCTCGATTTTCTAGCCGGCCGCCAAGACGAAGACGGTTCGTTCGGCACCAGCGGCTACAGTCGCAACGTGGCTGTCTGTGCACTCAGTGGAATGGCCTTCATGGCCTCCGGCAGCACGCCCGATCGTGGTCCTTATGGCGAGAACGTCGAACAGTGCGTATCGTTCTTGCTCGACAATGTCCAGCCCGAGAGCGGGTTCATCGCCGTGCCCGATACCAGCAGCCACGGACCAATGTACGGTCACGGGTTCGCCACACTGTTCCTGGCCGAAGCCTACGGCATGTCGATGCGTCCCGATCTTCGCGAGAAGCTTTCAGCCGCGGTGAACCTCATCGTGAAAACCCAGAATCGCGAAGGCGGATGGCGCTATCAGCCGCAGCCCCGCGATGCCGACATCTCGGTGACCATCTGCCAGATTATGGCCCTGCGAGCCGCGCGCAACTCCGGCATCTACGTCCCCGCCGACACGGTTGATCGCTGCATCGACTATGTAAAGCGAAGCCAAAACCCCGACGGCGGGTTCATGTACATGATCCAAGGCGGGCAAAGTGCCTTTCCTCGTTCGGCCGCCGGCGTGGTCGCCCTATATAGCTCGGGTGTGTACGAAGGCGAAGAGATCGACCGCGGGCTGAACTACCTCATGGGGCATGTGCCGCGTGGCGGGCAGTTCCATCGCGAAAGCCACTACTTCTACGGGCACTACTACGCCGTGCAGGCCATGTGGCACGCCGGTGGTAAGCACTGGGAGAACTGGTACCCGGCCGTCCGCGACGAACTCCTCGCCCTGCAACGCCCCGACGGATCATGGATGGACTCAATCTGCCAGGAGTACGGTACAGCCATGGCCTGCCTCGTGCTGCAAATGCCCAACAACTACCTTCCCATCTTCCAACGCTGAATGTCTCGTCGCTCTTTCATACCGATCGTCACGCTCGCGTTGTGTTCCCTCGTCAGCACCGTGTTGGCAACCGAAGCGGACACGGTGGTGCCCGTTGAAGGCAAACGGTTTACCGCACGTGTGGTGTCCATCGATGCGGCCGGTCGAATCACTTTCGCCAAGTCCAATGGAAGCGAAACCCTCGCGGTCGATGATCTCGTGCGATGGGGAACTCCCTCCGACCCTCGGGGCGGAACGTTGCTGGTAATGGGGCAGGGGGCGGTCGTCGTAGCCGCACAGGTCGCATTAGAAAACAGCCGCGTTACATTCGATTCGGCCCTGCTCGGCGAAGTCACCTTGCCGACCGAAAACCTTCGCGGAATGGTCCTCAATCCACCCGCGTCGCCAGCGCTGAAAGACAAGCTTATCCAGCGCATCGCCGACCACGCCGGCACCACCGATCAGTTGCTGCTCGTCAACGGCGACGAGTTAACGGGCACGATCACCGAGATCAATGATCTCGACATCACCATCAATGCCAACGTGGGCGAAATCGATGTGGCGAAAAGTCGCGTGGAGGCCCTGCTGCTGAACTCCACCTTCTTCGACCCCGGCCCGGCCAAGGCGACCGGAATCTGGGTTGGCCTTACCGACGGTTCAAGAATCCTGGCATCCCGTGCGGAGTTAAGTGCGGAAACCCTCACGCTCGCCTTGCCCGAGCAAGCCACCTGGCAGGCCCCCTCCAATGCCCTGGTGTGGCTGCAACCGCTGGGAGCCCGCGTGGTTTACCTTTCCGACTTAGAGCCGGCCGGCTATCGGCACATTCCCTTGCTCAACACACAGTGGGAGTTCACCCGCGACCAAAGCGTGGTCGGCACCGCACTCCGCGGTGGCGAGCGTCGCTATCAAAAGGGGCTCGGCATGCACAGCGCCTGCCGGCTCACCTATCGTCTGAACGAACCGTTCACCCGCTTTGAGGCTGATCTGGCAGTCGACGATGCCGCCGGCTCGCTCGGCAGCGTAGTGTTTCGCGTTTACGTCGGCACCGAGCAACGCTTTGCCAGCGACACAATCCGTTCCGGTGACCCTCCAGTGCCCATCTCTGTCGACGTCACCGGCGGCCGCTCCCTGAGCCTGCTGGTCGAATTCGCCGAACGCGGCGACGTGCAAGACTACGCCGACTGGATCGACGCCCGACTGGTACGGTAGCTGTGCGAGTCTTTGGGTACCACCGGTTCTCGAACCGGTGCGGCGCAGCCGCCAGAAGTCTTCACCGCAACCGAAGCTGATTTGCGAGGTGTGACTCTTCAAGGCGCTCCCGATGTCGCCTGATTCAAAAGACCACTCCCAAAACCTCTAGTCGCCTGCGGCGACCCAGGTTCAAGCACCTGGGCTACCTCTTAGTGACTTGAGGTCTCGCCGGAGCTTACGCTCCGTACTTACCCAGCCGGCCGGCATTCGCCAGCGCCATCGGCATGAGGTACTTCGCTTCGAACTGCCCCAGCCCGCCGCGGACACAGTGCTTCTCGCCGAAGGCCTGACATTCATCGGGGCGACAAACCGAAGAGTACAACAGTGTCGGCACGGGGTGCCAGCTATGGCTCTTCAACTGGCTCGGCGTGCTGTGGTCGCCGGTGGCAATCACCACCGTGGGGTCGAGTGCCAGAACACGAGGGATGATCGTGTCGAACTCCTCGGTCTTCTTCACCTTCGCATCGAAGTTACCATCTTCCCCGGTGCTGTCGGTGTACTTGAAGTGAACGAAGAAGAAGTCGTAGTTGTTCCACTCGTCCTCGAGCACCGAGCATTGTTCGTCCAGCGTGGTGGCCTCGCCCACAATGTCCATTCCCACCAGGCGAGCAAGACCCTTGTACATCGGGTACACCGCAATGGCGGCCGCCTTCAGCCCATACACTTCTTCGTAGCTGGGCAAGTTCGGCCGACCGGCGAAGCCCCGCATGGTCAGGGCGTTGGCTTGCGGTTCATCGGCCAGAATCTTTCTCGCCTCGGCGATGAACGTCTTGGCCGCTTCGGCCGTGGCCCGACTGCCTTCGTCCATCGGCTTGGGATCAAGCGGCGGCACTCCAGTGGCCTGAGGGTCCGTATCGTGCACGTTCCCCTCGAGCCCTTTCCCACGAAACACCACCACGAAGCGATGCTCGCGAACCGGCTCCACGAAGATTTCCACGCCCGGCACTTTGGCCTCTCGCAGCTTTCGGGCCAGCGGTGCACTCTGCTCGGTGGCGATTCTTCCCGCGCGGCGATCGGTAATCTTCCCCTCGGCATCCACAGTGCAGAAGTTGCAGCGGATCGCCACGTCGCCATGCTGCAGTTCGAACCCGATGCCGGTTGCCTCCAGGGCCCCACGACCGATGGTGTATTGAATCGGGTCGTAGCCGAAGAGCCCCAGGTGACCGGGCCCGCTACCGGGCGTGATACCCGGCTTCACCGGAATACTGCCGCCGAGCACGCTCTTCACCGCCAGGGCATCGAGGTTAGGTGTTTTCGCCGCTTCCAACTCCGTCGGTCCGCCGGGCTCTTGAGGTAAGCCACCCAGCCCGTCGGCCACCAGCATCACAATTTTCGAGTCGTTCGAAGTCTTCAAGCTCTGCGTTAGCTGGTGCATATCCATGGCTACACTTGTCCGTATTAAACCCGACGGATGGATGAAACATTCCCCACGTTGTTATCAATTTGCCGCCAAAGCACAAGCGGCCCCAGCAGTCTGAGCTCAATCGCCCAGTGTGGTAGTTGCCCCCATTTTCACACACTGGTCGATAAGAGGTCACTTCGGTATGTTCAGAACTGTTCGGATCCGGACGAGGTGGCGGACTCGCTGCGGCCGTGTGACTCGTTGTTTTCTACGCTAGTACGAAGGGTCAGTACCATCGAACCTCTACGATACGAATACGACGGAGCCCTCCTCGACAAGACGGGCATTGCACAGGCCGATCTCGACGCCCTGGCTCCGCAGTTGGAAGCGGCCCGCACCGAAGTGCTCGACGACGTGAAGCTCTGGAACGAGGGCGGCAAAGTTCCTACCGAGAAAGATCCCCTCGACGCCGGATTCCTCGAACTGCCCGAGCGGCTGCTGAGCGAGTACCGCAGCAAGGGCGATGCCAGCGAATTGGGCCGCATCATCACCTGCGGCAATCGCTTGGCCGAAGCCGTCGATCGCGTGGTCGTTCTTGGCATCGGCGGCTCCTACATGGGCGCCCGGGCTCTGATGGAGGGCATCGATCACCCCTTCCACAACGAACTTCCCCGCTCCCAACGCAACGGTCGCCCCCGGCTGTACTTCGAGGGGAACAACGTCGACAACGACGCCGCCCAGGGCTTGCTCGATATTTTGGGCCGCGACCAAAAGGCCACCGGCGTGGACGATTCCTGGGGCATCACCGTCATCAGCAAAAGTGGCGGCACTCTTGAAACGGCCGTTGCCTTCCGCACCTTCCTGGCCGCCCTGCGGGCGTCTTGCGGAGGTGATGCGAAGCGAGTGGCCGATCTCGTGGTGCCCGTCACCGGAGAATCCGGCAAGCTGTTCGACCTGGCCACCGCCCTGGGTTGCGAAGAAATGTTCCACATCCCCGATGGCGTCGGAGGTCGCTTCTCGGTGCTCACCGCCGTGGGCCTGCTGCCGGCCGCGATTCTGGGGCTCGATGTCGTCGCCCTGCTCGAGGGTGCCGCGGCGATGAACGAACGTTTCCGTACCAAGAAACCGGGGGATAACCCCGTGCTCGACTACGTCGGCGTGTGCCATCTCATGGAGAAGGACCACGGCGCACTGATCCGCGTGTTGTCGGTGTGGGACAAGGGGCTTGAAGCTTTGGGCCTGTGGTACGACCAGTTGCTTTCCGAAAGCCTCGGCAAGCACGAGAAGGGGGCCACCCCGCTCACGGTGGTCAACACTCGCGACTTGCACTCGCGTGGTCAACAACACCAGGAAGGCCGTCGCGACAAGTTGATCACCAACCTCATTGTCGAGGGGCACCAGCGCGACGCGATCGCCGTGGGGAAATCGGACTTCAACCAGGATCAACTCAACACCCTGGCCGACAAGACGGTGCCCGACGTACTCAGTGCGGCCATCCAAGGCACCAACAAGGCCTACGCCGACGACAAGCGTCCGACGACGAACCTGAGAATTACCCACAGCGACGAATCGGCCGTGGGGCAACTGTTCCAGATGTTCATGCTGGCCACCGTGGTCGAAGGCCGGTTGATCGGCATCAGCCCCTACGGGCAGCCCGGCGTGGAAGCCTACAAGAAGAATATGAACGCCATCCTGCGTGGCGAGTAATGGCAACGCCTGCTGCGAGTCTTAACAGGAACTGCCGCAAGCGCACTCGAACTAAGGAGCGACATCCATGGCAATCGAACTCACCTGGTTAGGGCACGGAAGTTGGTCGATCGCCACCGGCAAGCACACGGTGCTGCTCGATCCGTTTTTCGACGATTCCCCAACTTCTCCGGTAAAGGCTGACGATGTCGAGGCCGACTTCATCCTGGTCTCGCACGGGCACTTCGATCACGTCTCCGACGTGGTGAAGATCGCCCAACGAACCGGAGCGATGGTGATTTCGAACTTCGAAGTGTGCCAATGGTTTGGCAACAAGGGCGTGGAGAACACCCATGCTCAAAATATCGGCGGCGCTTTCCAGCATCCCTTCGGCAACGTGAAGATGACCATCGCTCATCACAGTTCGAGCATGCCCGACGGTTCCTACGGAGGCGATCCGGCTGGTTTCTTGCTGGACCTCGATGGGAACACCATCTACTTCGCCTGCGATACGGCATTGTTCGCCGATATGGAGCTGATCGGATCCGCCGGCATCGACCTGGCCATTGTGCCCATCGGTGACAACTTCACGATGGGCCCCGCCGACAGCGTTCAGGCCGTGAAGCTCATCAAGCCAAAACGGGTGGCCCCGGCACACTACAACACCTGGCCTCCCATCGAGCAGGACGCCAAAGCCTGGTCTCGCCAAATCTCCGACAAGACCGACGCGGAACCAATTGTGCTTGAGCCCGGCGGCAAGATCAGCCTGTAGTGCGAGTCTCCGCCTGATCGGCGGCCGAAGGCGGTCTGATTTTCCCCGTGGCGCGTCTTGGTCTACACTCGTAGCTCGAAGGTGACGCGCTCTCTGCACGGACTTCGGAATCCTGGCTGATTGATATTCTACGAGGAACGACAGATGTACCGATGTGGCCGAGTGCCGGCTGTCGGCTTGTTGATGGCACTGCTCTGCGTGGCTCCCCTGGTGGTGGCCGATGAAGAATGGCCGCAGTTTCGCGGACCCACCGGGCAAGGCATCGCCGACGCCCACGACCTGCCGGTGACGTTTGGCAGTGAGAAGAACGTCGCCTGGAAGGTGCCCATCGAAGGCACCGGCTGGTCATCGCCGGTAATCGACGGGAACCAAATCTGGTTGACCACGTCGACCGACGAAGGTCATTCGCTACGGGCCATTTGCGTCGATCGCTCGAGCGGAAAGATCGTGCACGACGTGGAGGTGTTCGCCCCCGCGGACCCGCCGGAAATCAATGCTAAGAACTCCTACGCATCGCCCACCCCGGTGGTCAACGACGGTCGGCTGTTCGTCCATTACGGCACGCTTGGCACCGCCTGCATCGATTGTGAAACCGGCGAAGTGCTGTGGCGCAACACCGAAGTACAGCTCGACCATAAGGAAGGGCCCGGCAGCTCACCGGTGTTGTTCGAAGACTTGGTGATCGTCAACTGCGACGGCATGGATGTGCAAAGCGTGGTGGCCTTCGACCAGTCCGATGGATCGATCGCCTGGCAAAGCACCCGTCCCGGCCCGTTGGACCCAAATCCCGACTTTCGCAAAGCGTATTGCACGCCGCTAGTGGTTGAAATCGACTCCAAGCCGCAACTTGTCAGTCCTGGGGCAAGTCGGGTGATTTCGTACGATCCCCGCTCCGGCGACATGCTGTGGCAGGTTGATTACGACGGCTTCTCAAATGTGCCATGTCCCGTGTGGGGAGAAAATTTGCTCTACGTATGCACCGGCTTCATGAAGCCGAAGCTGCTGGCCATCCGCCCCGACGGGCTGGGTAATGTGACCGATAGCCACGTGGAGTGGGACTTCACCGCGGGGGTGCCGAACAATCCTTCACCGCTGCTGGTCGAGGGGCTGCTCTACATGGTGAGCGACTCTGGCGTGGCCACGTGTCTCGATGCGGTCACTGGCAAGGTGCAGTGGAAAGAACGCCTGGGAGGCAACTACTCGGCCTCACCGCTTTGGGCCGACGGGCGGATCTACATCGGTAGCGAAAACGGACAGGTATCGGTCATCGCCCCCGGTGATACCTTCGAGCGACTTGCCCTGAACGAACTCGACGGCCGGATCATGGCTTCGCCGGTGGCCGTGGGAAGAGAACTTTACATTCGCACCGATGGTGCCTTGTACCGTTTCGAGAAGCCGCTGACCACCGCCGCAAACTAGTAAGATTTCTTGCGACTTTCCCCTGGGCCCAACAGCGCCGTGCGATCGCGAAGAACGCACGGCGCTTCCGTGCATGCACGCCTATCGATTGCTCATCATGATGTCGCTTACTACAGCGAGCATGGCAAAGAAAGAAACGCCCAAAGCTGTGTGGATCAGGTATACCGGCATAAAGTGAGGCCCGCGGAAAGAAATCGCCATCAGGGGCTCCGACCCACGACAATCGTCCATGCGATAAGCTCCATCTTCGTCTCAAGGGTCGTTCCGCGTCCAGCATTTCGTCCTCAGCCGTTTCGCGATGCCTCACCGGCTACGGGACCCCAGCCGTGAAAGCTTGCCCAATCGGGATTCCCCGCCCCGCCAAAGCCACGACACGCGTTGATTACGCCCTCCGCTTCCGCTTGGCCTTTGCGGGCTTGGGGTGATGGGCCACCGTGGCTTTGGCCCGACGAGTAGCTTGGCGGTGGAGTAATTCCCGCTGCAGTTCGGCTTCGCTCTTGTGCGACCACTCGGTGAGCTTGGCGAGCCACTCGGCCGGTTTGCGGTCGTGGAGGTTGACCGACTCGATCTCATGTTCACGCATAATTGTGGACATTTTTCTCAGCGATGATGCCACGTCGAGCACCTCGAGGGCGAGGGTGTCCAACTGGTCGGGTGTGTGAGGTTGCAGGGTCATCTAGTCCCCCGATTCTTCGTAATTCGTTCGTATTCATGGCGGTTATCTTGGGTTTTTCCTCCCTGAACCCGCTTTCGAAGCGGCAACTTCAGGCCCACTAGATGTGGTTCAGAAATCGTAGCAAAAGCGCATTATTTTGTACATAACTTTGTTTGAAATTAGGCCACACGATCCGCACAATGACACCCATCGTTGAGCCGCAAACGGTGATCCGGCCGACGCCAGCCAGCCCCTTTCGCCCATGGTCAGGAGTGCCCCATGTGCTGCCGCAAGAACGTCTCGTCAGGTGATCGGCTTTCCGTCTCGTTTGGATGTCGGGTCGCAAGTGGTTGTTCACGCACGGGTTATGGATGTCTTGCGGCGTTCGGCGATGACGACTCAGACGAGCCGGCCACATCCTGGGAGGACCTGATGCCGGAACTCGATACAGACGACGGCGAACCATTCGAGACGCTGCCCGAGTTCGGCGAGCCGCCCTCCTGGGCCGACCTCGACGATTGGGACAACGAAGAAGATTGAGCGTTTTTCGCCCCGTTCCACCAAACCATTCTTGTGTTTTCTGCAACAAACTTCCTGCGAGCGAACGATGATCGAACCTTCGGTGGTTGAAGAAGTGCGGCGGCTGTTGGCCGAAGGCAAGCTCTCGCAACGGAAGATCGCCCGGCACATCGGCATCAGTCGCGCCACGGTGGGGGCTATCGCTAGCGGAAAGCGACCCGACTACACACCTCGCCCCCGCAGTGAAGACGATCTGTTTCAACCCTCCGGCCCGCCCGCGCGTTGCCCCGGGTGTGGTGGTGTGGTCTATCTGCCGTGCCGGTTGTGTCACGTCCGCGAGACCAAACGGAAAGAAGAACAGCAGGCTCGTCGTAGAGCCCTGATGTCCTCCGGCCGCATTGAAGAACTCTACCGCCAGCCCAAGCGGCCGTTCACATCCATGCCAACGCGGTCCGCTACGTTCAGCCCGCGGGCGGAACCAAAGCCACCGCGCGGCACCAGCCGGCACTAGCCCTCTCGATGTTCACCGGCAGGCAAGAAACCTGAAAGCCGTGTGAACGTCCGATCTGATCGAGATTCGCCAGCTTTTCGATCTGGCAATACTCGCGAGTGATGCCTGCGAAATGGGCCGGCCAGATGTGTCGGCCATCGCCGGTGCTGTGGTAGTCGGCCATCATATTCATGAACGGTCGGTCGAGCGTGTAAGCGTCGATCCCAATCACATGAACCCCTTGTTCGACCAGCCACAAGGTGCCTTCGCGACCCAAGCCCGGCTGTTGGAAGTACTCGGGCGTGTCAATCCGGGCATCAGCACCCGTCTGCAGCAGCACGATGTCGCGGGGCTTCAAGGTGTATTCGGTTTTCTCAAGCGCCGCTTGCAAGTCTTGAACCGTGATCATTTCGCCGGCAGCTTTGTGACGGACATCGATCACCACGCCAGGCGCAAAACACCATTCCAGGGGAACCTGGTCAATCGTTCGGGCCGGGCGGCCTTCGGACTTGGGCCCGTAATGATAAGGGGCATCTACGTGCGTTCCGGTGTGTGTGATGGCCCGAACTTCTTCGACAGCCCAGCCAAGCCCTTCGGAATAGACCAAATCCTCGGGCCGAACCCCCAACAGGTTGCTCATCTGTTCCAGGCCGCGCTCGCCATGGGTGATGTAGTCGATCTCGGCCGGCATCGGTTCACTGGTCGCCTGATGTGCCAGCGGCACGCTGAGATCGACAATCTTCCAGTCGTTGAGATCCGGCATCGGTTTCCTTTCGCTGAGACATTTGCTGCTAAGCGCGACGATCGATGTCGGTGTTACGCCGGATGGGCTTCGACCAGCGACAGGGCCGCCTTGGTGGCTGTCACTCCGATCAACTCGAGTCCGGCCTGGGCCAGCAGCTTGCCGAACTCCTCTCGAGTACGCTCCAAGCCACCGGTCATCACGAGCATGTTGAGATCGCTCATCTTGGCGAAGTCTTCCTCCCCGGGGGGCTTCACCACATGCTCGGCCAGGATCACCCGGCCCTCGGGGTTCATCGCCTCGCGTACATTCTTAAGGATGCGGATGCTGTCCTCATCGTTCCAGTCGTGAATCACGAACGACATGATGTAACAGTCGGCACCCGGCGGAACTGATCGGAAGAAGTCGCCCCCACGGGCTTCCGCACGTTCGGCTAGCCGCTCGTGAACAATCGTCTCGTTGGCAGCGTCCATCACACTGGGCTGGTCGAACACAATACCCCGCACTTCGGGATTGGCCCGCAGAATGGCGGCCAACAGCGTGCCGCGACCCCCGCCGACATCCACCACGGTTTCGAAGCGGCTGAAGTCATAGGCTTCGACCACGGCCCGTTCCGATTGCGAGGTCAACTCGCTCATGGCCTGATGGAAGATTTTGGCCGAGTCGGGATTGGCCTCGTAATAGTCGAACACCGGCACGTCGAAGGTATGTTCGAACGCCACCCGACCGTCGCGGACACTTTCCAGCAAGTTGCTCCAGGCATCGGCATGTTCGTCCCCCATCATGATCGCGGTGGCCCACAAGGAGCGTTCATGATGACGCCGCAGGTACTCGCCCGCATCGGTGAGTGAAAAGCGATGTTTGTCATCTTCTTCGAGCACGCCCACGCCGCTCAGCCCGCGGAGCAGTCGGTACAACGAGGGGGCATGGCAACCAATCTTGGCCGAGAGTTCGTCGGCGGTCTGCAGCTCGGCGGCCAGGTGATCGGCCACCTCGAGCCGCGCCGCCACGGCAATGGCTTGCGAGACCCACTGCCCGGTGATCATCCGCAGTAGCGTCAAGTGAGGTGGTTGTTTGGCCGGGGTCGCGTTCTCGTCCGACATGGGGAGCCTCTCGAAGAGTCGTTCTGGTGCACTGCCGCCGCCGGGTATTGTAGCGACCGAAGTGTTGGGGTCTTGGGGCTGTGAGGGTGAAGCGGCAGATTACGCCACCAACTGGAGGGGACATGCAGGTGGCCGGACGAAACTCGGATTAAGCTGGAAGAGTCAGCCTCGGCCATGGGGAAACCACCAAATCGGGGTGGAATCCATTCGGAACCGGCTGCGGAAAATGGTACAAGTATTTGTATAGCGGGAATTCGGCAAATTAGACCGTTTGAAACGGTCAGGCGGACATAGACGGCTCAAGGCGGCAGCGGCTTCGAAGCGATGGGCTTCGACCCATCCGCCGCAGTCTTAAGAACAGCTAACTCCGCTCAGTCGGAGTATCAACACACAATCTCTGGCAACAGATCACTGGAATCAGGGGAGCAACCCATGCAATCGCAGTGTCTCATCGCGCGCCTCTCGCGTAGCGCATTCATGATGCTATTTACCTTTTCGCTGCTAGCCACCAGCAGTGCTGTGGCCGATGACGAATCGTCCAAAGAACCGAAGTCGAAGTTTCCGGCCTGGGACGATGTGCTGAAAGATCACAAGAAGCTCGAGGGCTTCTTAGACCTGCACTACAACGAGAAAGAGCAATCGCTGTTCGTCGAATTGAAGTCGAGCGATATGGATAAAGACCTGCTGTTGCCCATGGCCATCGCCCGGGGTGCCGGCAGCATGATCCTCGGCGGCGACACGCTCAACTTCGGCAATCAATGGGTCATTCAGTTCCGCCGCTCGGCCGACAAGGTGCTTGTGGTCCGCCGAAACGTGACCGTTCGCGCGGAGAAGGGTTCACCGCAAGCCGACGCGGTCGATGTTTCGTACAACGACAGCGTGATCCTAGCCCTGCCCATTCGCAGCGAGAAGGGCAGCACGGTTCTGGTCAATGCGGCCGACATGTTCATGACTGACCTGGCCGACATTGGCATTCGCCCCGATCGTCAGCGAAGCACGTGGTTCAAGGTGAAAAACTTCCCCGAGAATGTCGTGATTCAAGTGAGTGCGGTCTTCTCGTTCAACGGGGGACTGTTCTTCCTGTTCGGTGGCGATGACATCCCCGACATGCGTGGTGCCCAGGTGGTGATTCATTACGGCCTGTCCGACATGCCGAACGATTCGAGCTATAAGCCGCGACTGGCCGACGACCGCGTGGGCCACTTCTTAAGCACGGTTCGCGATTTTTCAGCCGACTCGGACAAGACCCCCGACGTGCGGTACGTGACCCGTTGGAATTTGAATAAGAGCGACGCCTCGGCCGATAAATCGCCGCCGAAGGAACCGATCATCTTCTGGATCGAACGTACGGTGCCGCGCGAGTACCGCCCCTTTGTGAAGGACGGCATCCTGGAGTGGAACAAGGCCTTCGAGAAGATCGGCTTTATCGATGCGATTCAGGTTCGCGATCAGCAAGCCACCGACGAGTTCGAGTCGGAAGACATCCGTTACAACACCTTCCGTTGGATCGCCACGTCGCAACCCTTTGCAATGGGCCCCTCGCGAACGAACCCCACGACGGGGCAGATTCTGGATGCCGACATTCTGTTCGATGAATCGTTCGTGCGGTACTGGCGCGAAGATTACCTGGCCACCGTTGGCTTGCCCGCAGGCATGAAGCGTCTCGACGACCGCATCAGCCATCAGGCGTGGCACAAAATGCATGCCGCCGACTTGCCGTGGGTCGTTTTAGCCCAACCTCAGTTGGAACAGATCATGAAAGACCCTCAAGCCGCCGAGGCGTTGGCCGCCCGCAATGCGTTGGGCATTCCGGCCGCCAAGTCGACCGCCTGCGGAATGTGCTCGCCCAGCGAGCGCTGCATGTTGGGGCAGGGCATGAACCGGCAACTCGGTCTCATGGCAGCTTTTCTGCAGGCCGAAGGCAAACTTGATCCTGGCGGCAAGGTTCCGCTGGAGTACATAGGTCAGGCCATTAAAGAAGTGACGATGCACGAAGTCGGGCACACGCTCGGACTGAGGCACAACTTTAAGGCCTCCACCGTGCTGAGCCTCGAAGAATGCAACAACCCCGAGATCACACGCGAAAAGGGCATGGCCGGCTCGGTGATGGACTATCTCCCCGCCAACTTCGCCCCTGAGGGTGAAGAGCAGGGCGACTACTTCTCGCAAACCATCGGCCCCTACGACTATTGGGCCATTGAATACGCCTATACGCCCAACGGCAGTGAAGAGGAACTGGACAAGATTGCCAGCCGCGTGGCCGAGCCCGAATTGACCTACGCCACCGACGAAGACGCTTTTTCCAATCCCGACCCCCGTATCAACCTTTACGACCTGGGCGATCCTTTGGAATTCGCCGAGCAACGCGTCCAACTCGTCGAGCAGCGTCTGAAGGAGTTGGCCGAACGCGTGGTCGCCGAAGGCGACGGCTGGCAGCGAGCCCGAGTAGCATTTTCGAACCTCATGGGCGAACTTTCCAGCGCCACTTTTCTCAGTGCGCAGTACATCGGTGGCGAATACACCTATCGCGACCACCGCGGCGACCCGAACGCTCGCGACCCCTTCACGCCGATCCCGGCGGAAAAGCAACGTGAAGCGATGAAGTTCCTCAGCGAGCACATTCTCAGCGACGACGCGTTCAGCTTCTCACCCGAGTTGCTCCGCCGCCTGGCGCCCGAGCATTGGCGCTCTTCCGGCCTCTTCATGAGCAGTTCGACGAGCTATCCCATTTACGATATTGCCGAAAGCATTCAAGGCACCGTTGTCTCGCAATTCCTCAACGGCACCGTGCTCCGCAACATCCAGAACATCGAACTGCATGCTGATGAAGATCAAGATGTGCTGCGGATGCCCGAGGTGTTCGACATGCTGACTGAAAGCATTTGGAGCGAAGTGCCCACGGAAGCCCCCGGCGAAGAGGAAGAGCTCGAAGTCAACATTTCGACCATTCGCCGCAATTTACAAAGGGCCCATCTGCAGCGTCTCTCGCAGATGTCGCTGGGCAACTCGGCTCAACCGGCCGATGCCCAAAACCTGGCCAACATGCACCTGGTTGGCCTGGCCGAGCGAATCACGATGACGCTCGAGAACGAGCAGATCGAGATGGACGACTACACCCGGGCCCACCTCATGGAAATGGACCGCAAGCTCGAGAAGTTGTTCGATGCCACACTTCAAGTGAATCGCTTGTAAGCGAGATGGTAATCAGTCATTCGATAAAAAGCTCGTATTCGTCTTGCAACGTGTCGAGCCGTCCGGAGAATAGCAACAGCGATCAGGCGTCGAGCATGGAGTTCGCCGCCTGATCGATTGGTGCCTCGACCTTCAGACGAGAGCTATTAGGATGGCTGATCAAGGAAGAGTTGCCGAAGGCGAACTTCTCGCGCGGCTCGATCGACTGCCCACATGGCCGTATTCGTACAACGTGCTAGTCGTCGTGGGGGCGGGTTTCTTCTTTTCCTTCTTCGACGTCGTGGCGATCGGTTTCGCCATGCCGGTCTATTCGAAACAGTTCGGTGTCTCCGACGAGATGGCCTCGTGGGCGATCACCAGCGGGCTCATCGGCTACATCATTGGTTCATTCTTGGATAGCCGCATAGCCGACAAGTTCGGTCGGCGGATTAGCTTGTTCCTTTCGGTGTTCGCCTTTTCCTTCGGTTCGATCATGGCCGCCACCAGCCCCGGCTTGTGGTGGTTAGTGGGTTGGCGGTTTCTGGCAGGGATGGGCATCGGGGCCGAAATCGCCTTGGCCACCACGTACATCGGTGAGATGTCGCCCGCCCCGTTGCGTGGCCGCTATTCCGGCTGGGCCGTCTCGGCCGCCTTCCTGGGATTCGCCGTGGTGCCCTTTGTGGCACTGGCTTTGGTGCCGAACTTTGCATGGGGATGGCGAGCACTGTTCGTCATCGGTGGTCTTGGCGGTTTGACAATCGCCTACATGCGGAAACATCTGCCCAACTCCGTGCACTGGCTTGTTGGGCAAGGCCGTGGCCACGAGGCGGCCGAACTCGTCGAAGCAGCCGAGACTCTCGTTCGCCAACGAATCGGCAAAGAATTGCCGCCCGTCCCTGCACCTTCAACCGACGCGGTCGAAACATCAACCTCGATCGTGGGCCTGTTCCGTTCACCTTACGCAGGACGATTGGTACTGCTGGCCACCGCGTGGTTCTTTTACTACGTTGGCAACTACGCTTGGCTCACCCTCACCCCACAACTGCTCGGCGATATCGGCTATGACCTGAGCAATAGCATCTTCTTCATGACAATCACCGGGCTAGGCTTTGTCGTGGGAGCTGTGGCTGCCGCCATGATCAGCGATCGCATCGAACGCAAACTGGCCGTCACGCTTATCGCCATCGTCTGGGGAATCTCGCTGTTGGTAATCGGCTGGTTTCCGTCGGAGGCCATCATCATGGTCTTCGGATTCGTAGCTTCCACAACCATCGGGCTGTTGATCCCACTGTTGTATACCTACACCGCAGAGAACTTCCCCACGCGATTTCGCGCCACGGGCATCTCCCTTTCCGACGGCATCGGACACCTGGGCGGTGCCTTCTGCGGACAAATCACGTTCGCCGTATATCACTTTCACGATTTCGGTTTCCCCGGGGCCTTAACCTCCATGGCCGTCACCGGATTCATCACGGCGATCTTGTTGCTGTTCGGCGTGGCGACCAACGGAAAACCGCTGAATCACATCTCGTCTTAGGTGAGCATTCTTCGCCAAGCCGAACCGCATTCTGCACGAGCGCGGTGATATTTCGGCCCATTCACTGGAAACGGTCCCCTTTTCGGGACAAACTGGGCGGATGCTCTCGGTTCGGTTTTCCCACCATCCTCCATCCCACGCATGGTGATATGAAGTACGTGTATGCATTCCTGCTAGTCGCCGCGTCGTTGTGCACGACATCGCTGGCCGCCGATCGCCCCAACGTGTTGATCATCTTGGCCGACGACCTGGGCTATTCCGACTTGGGTTGTTACGGCAGCCGGATCGAAACGCCCAACCTCGACTCGCTCGCCAGCGACGGTCTGCGGTTCACGCAGTTCTATAACACGGCCCGCTGTTGGCCGACTCGAGCCGCGTTGATGACCGGCTATTACGCTCAGCAAGTCCGACGTGACACAATTCCGAACATCAAAAGCGGCTCGCGTGGTAGCCGGCCGGAGTGGGCTCCGCTGCTGCCGACCATGCTCGAGCCGCTGGGTTACCGTTCGTATCACTCAGGCAAATGGCACATCGACGGAATGCCGGTGGCCAGCGGGTTCGATCGCTCTTACTACCTGCAAGACACCGGACGGTTCTTCAATCCCAAGGTGCATTATCTAGACGACGAGAAACTCCCTGCCGTGGAGCCGGGAACCGACTTCTACGTCACTTCTTCGATTGCCGATCATGCGATCGAGTTCCTAGAAGAGCACGCCGAGAAGCACTCCGACCAACCCTTCCTGCAGTACCTGGCGTTCACATCGCCGCACTTCCCGCTGCATGCGAAACCCGAGGACATCGCTCGGTACCGCGACAAGTTCAAGGAAGGATGGAACCAGGCCCGGGAGCAGCGGCTCGCGCGAATGCACGAGATGGGCATCGTTGATGTCCCACTGTCGGAAGTGGAACTGGAAGTCGGGCCTCCCTATCACTTCCCCGAAGCTCTTGAAACGCTCGGTCCTGGTGAGGTGAATCGCCCGTTGCCTTGGAGCGATCTCACCGAGGAGCAGCAAGAGTATCAAGCCATCAAGATGGCCCTGCATGCGGCGATGATTGACCGCATGGACCGCGACATCGGGCGCGTGCTCGATCAGCTTCGTGCGATGGGGGCGTTTGAAAACACCTTGGTCTTCTTTCTCTCTGATAACGGTGCCAGCGCCGAGATCATGGTCCGAGACGACGGACACGACCCCAACGCGGAGCCTGGTTCAGCGGCGACTTACTTCTGCCTGGGACCCGGCTGGTCGAACGCCGCGAACACGCCGTTCCGTCGCCATAAAACTTGGGTGCATGAGGGCGGGATCTCCACGCCACTGATCGTGCATTGGCCCGAAGGCATCAAAGCCCGGGGTGAACTTCGGCGAAACCCAGGCCATGCCATCGACATCGTCCCCACCGTGCTCGAAGCGGCCGGCGGTAAACGGCCCGAGACCATCGCAGGGAAGCCGGTGCCACAGCCGCCGGGAGAGAGCCTCGTTCCGGTTTTTGCCGAAGATGGAACGGTGAAGCACGATTCGTTCTGGTGGTTGCACGAAGGGAACCGTGCGATTCGCGTGGGCGATTGGAAACTGGTCGCCGCCAAAGACGACCCCTGGGAGTTGTTCGACCTGAGCACCGACCGCTCGGAGACAAACAACCTGGCGGAGGAGTATCCAGACAAGGTCCGAGAGCTGGCCGCGCTGTGGGAGCAGCAAACGGCCGAGATTGCCGAGCTGGCTAGCGCCGATGTTCCGCGCGAGGAGGCTGCCAGCACGAACAAGAAAAAGAAAAAGCCGGTCAAAGATTTGATCTTGCCCGGCAAGTCGTTCTTGGTTGAAGGTCGTCCCGCATTCATCTTCCAACCGCCGGATAAGCCGCAAGCCAAACCGCGTCCGTGGATCATGTATGGCCCCACGCTGCCCAAGTATCCCGATGCTCATGAGAAGTGGATGCACGAGCAATTCGTGAAGGCCGGCATAGCGGTGGCCGGCATCGACGTGGGCGAAGCGTACGGCAGCCCCAAAGGCTGTGAGTACTTCGATGCCCTGTACCGCGAGATGACCGAGAAGCGTGGTTACGCCAAGAAACCTTGCCTGCTCGGCCGCAGTCGCGGGGGCCTGTGGGTTTCCAGTTGGGCCATCAAGCATCCCCATCAGGTCGCAGGCATCGCCGGAATCTATCCTGTGTTCGATCTCCGCACCTACCCTGGCCTCGAGAAAGCTGCACCCGCTTATGAGTTGAGCCCCACCGATCTGCAAGCCTCGCTCACGAAGTACAACCCGATCCAACGGGTCGCTACGCTGGCTGCCGAGAAGATTCCCGTGTTCTTCATTCACGGCGACATTGACGAAGTGGTACCGCTGAAAGAAAATTCGGCCGCCTTCGTTGAAACGTACGAGCAGGAAGGTGCCGAATCACTCGCGGAGTTGATCGTTGTCGAAGGGCAGGGGCACAACTTCTGGGAAGGGTTCTTCCACTGTCAGGAACTGGTCGACTTCGCCATCGCTCGAGCCCGTGCGGGTGCCGGCGAAGAATAACTACGCTGCCATTACACACGCAGGAACATCAGTCAAAGGATTGTCTCGATGGCTTGGGTTTATCTCATTATCGCCGGAATCTTCGAGTGGGGTTGGCCCATCGGGCTGAAGTTCGCCTGGACTGAGCAAGGTCTGAAGTGGATGCCTGCCATGATGGCCGTGGTAAGCATGACCTTCAGTGGGTTCTTCTTGCTTATCGCGCAACGAACGATTCCCGTCGGAACCGCTTACGCCGTCTGGACCGGCATCGGAGCCGTCGGTACGTTTGCTCTGGGCATCATCTTTCTTAACGAAGCGGCCAACATCGCCCGATTCGCCTGTGTTGGCTTGATCATCACCGGCATCGTCGGGCTGAAACTATTTTCGTCGTAAGCGGTGGAAGAGTTGATCTCACCCACCCAGGTCGCGACGCATCTCATCAATCGAATCCCGATTCTCGCGCACCGTCGTCGCAAGCTCTTCGAACTGAGACCGCAACTCCCGCAACTCGCTGGTGAGTTGGGCAACGCGGGCTTCTAGTTCCGCATTGACGGGATTCACGGTTCGCGGGGCTGGCTCGGGCGGTGGGTCGTTCGACCGAACTGGCTGAGCCGGCGCTTGACAAGACGGCGCTGGTGCGGCCGGCGGAGACGAACCTTCCGAAGCCGCGAATTTCTCTTTCACCCGCTGCAACTCTTCAGGGCGATACAGTCCATGCGTGACTGCGTGCCCGCGTCCTTCGGCGTTGAGCGCCACGACAAGTCCCTTAGACTTCAGCGATTCGAGAATTGGCCGCAAGGCCGCCACATCGGCAATGGGGTCCATCCTCGCGGCCCGACCACGCAGCTCGCCCACGGTTTGTGCACCGCGGAGAAGCAGTTCGGCCATGACCGAGAGCTCAACTTTTTCGACCCCCAGCCACTCGTACAGCATGTGACGGAACTTGGGTACCCGGCCGTCGCCATGCACCTCGACAATGGCCCCCATCTCTCGCAGTTCGTCGAGCGCGTTCTCCACATCTTCCGGCTCGAGATTCATCACCGGGTAGCGATTGCTCTTTTGATTCGAACCGGTGCAGATGGAGTTGATCGTCATGGGATAAGCCGAAGGGGTGGTCTTCGCCTTCTCGACCATCACCCCCGCCACGCGGCGTTGTGTGGCCGATAGTGGCCGCCAGGCTGGCTTCTCCGTTGCTGAATCATCCGCAGGTGTCACATCCATGGTTCCGTGGTTCCCCCGAGAGCTGTACTTCAACTGGCACACTAAACAACTGGCACACTAAACGAGTTGCGGGCTAAGTATAACGCAGCCGCGTCATGATGCACGGAGGGTGCCGCTGCGAAAACTGAATCGGCTGTTCAAGACAGTCGGCTAGAACTAGCGACGCGCAGTCGAGAAGGCTTGCGAAAGCGCCCGGGGATCGGCCAGATCGATCTTCTGATCCGTCACGTTGTTGGGCATCTGCCACAGTTCGGCGGGGCGCTCATCGGGATAATTGATCTGCCACTCGTTGACGGTAATCGTCAAGGTGAAGTCGGCCGATGGCCATGAAAGCTCGATCACCCCGGGCACGGTCACCTCATTCAACGGATCGCGATCGTGCTCGCTGGCCACGGCGCTGGTGACCAGTCTGCCAAACGGGTCGCGAAGATGCTGTTCTACAACGGCGCCCAATTCCGAATCGACGATGATCGTTCTCGACCAGGTGCCATTGGGGCGGGGGATTAGCGTTTCAACGGCAAACCGTCCATCGCCGATTGGGTGCGGTCCGTTGTGGCGACCATTCAAGTCGAGCGTGGCCAGCCCCATCGAATCGATGACCCATTGCGGATCGATCGGCATCATCTGGCTGGCTTCGCTGTTCTGGTAACGATCGTGTCGGCAGAAGAACATCGTCGGCGGCTCATTGCGTCGAGCCCAGAACCAAAACAGGTCGTCGTTGCTGCCCAGGTCGACCTCAACCCCGGTCAACGCGGTCTCGGCCACCAGTCGGAACCGCCGCGGGGCAACGTAGGCCAGCTTGGCCGAGACGGTCGGCAGTCGGCTACCTTTGATCTTCACATCGCTGGCATATAGCGACTGCACATGTGCCGCGTTCTGATTGACCACCATCGCCATTTCGGCCAGCGACGGCGACTCGGACAATTGCGGAATGGTAGACACTGTGTACTGACTTACGACATTCGGGCAACCGGTACCGAAAGCCATGCAGCAGATCGCCAGAGAGCACATTGCGAATCGCCGTAACCACGCGAGCGACAAAGCCATGGCGGCCACGTTGCTCGCGCGTGGCGAACAAGGTGGTGATGCTTTGCCGGAGCCCTGGTGCATAGTGCGACCCGCGGTGATGGACGAAACGATTAGCTGGCGTCGGCGAACAACAAGTTGGCCAACTGGTCCTGAATCTCTGTGACACGGGCCTCATTCGGCACGGCGACGGGTATCCGATAGGTGGCTTCTTCTCGCGGGCTGTAGACCACCATTACTTCCACTTCGGTATTGCTCTCTTCTTCGTCTTCCTGCTCTTGCTCGAAGTCTTCCAAGCGGAACAGCCGGCGACGTACCAGCAGCAGGGCCAGCACGTAGCACATGTCTTGTTGCGTCGGGTTGTTTTCCAACTCGTGGAACAGATCGAGTAGCACCTCGTTGGGGGCCATGCGGGCGCGTCGCGAAGCTTTCGTCGGCATCTGCGACTTCCACCAACCCAGGGCTCCCTCGGGCGGACCGTTCCAGGCCTCGGTCGAGAAGTCCACCCGGGCCACGTCCGAACCGTCGGCCATCAGCGCCGAGAAGAACTCTTCGCCTTCCTGCAACTCGCGACCCGTGACGGAGCACTGCCGCGTGCAGCGTTTGATTTCGTAGTCCATCAAGGTTGAAAGACCCCGAGAAAAAGTATCGTACGGCTACCAATGCTTGCTTTGTCTCGCAGCGCAGCGGCATCCGCCCTCATGTTCCCACTTCATCGCAACTTACAGAATGTCGCGGGGGAAAGTAAACGAAACCCGATGATGGGACAAGATTGGTGTAGGCCTGCAGGGTGGTAGTCGTAGAAGCCTATTGGGCGGTGAAGAAGCGGTTATCCGTCCCGCCGGGACCCACGCGAATCCGCACCGGGCGACTGCACTTCGGACAGTTCCCCGTATAGGCCGTCCCCTGAGTGTTGAGGTAAACCCGCTGATACACGCTGCAGCAGGTGAAATGAATGCCGACGAACCGCCGCGAGCCGCCGTCGGCCGCAGGTTTCTTCGGGGCCGAGCCTTCGCTCGAGATATCCAGATGATTTCCACGCATCAGAACGATCCGTCTGCACGTCTTTATGACTGAGCCGCAGCATACGCGCTGCTGGCCAAAGCGGAGAAGGGCAGTTGTGGCTGACTGCAGCGTTCGATGCAGTGCTAGCAGCACGTTGAGTTCGGGTCATTCGCAACTCGAGAAGGCTGGCGTTGCCTTCACCAGCACGGGCGTTGTACAACGCTCGACGCCCAGGGCACCGTGGGCGTTGCTAGATAAGTGGAAACGAAAGGCAAGGATGCCATGGCCACCAGTGTCGAACCCGAGTTCTTGAAGCAGTGCGTTTACGCTCCGCAGGGCCATCGGGCATTCGTAGGTCCGCCTGAGAAGTTCGACTTGATCGCCGCCTCTCAGTTTCACTTGCTGTCGTTGCTGGGGCTTCGAGAAGAACACCGGATGCTCGACATCGGGTGCGGCTCGCTTCGCGGTGGTCGACTCTTCATCACGTACTTGCTTCCCGGTCACTACTACGCGATCGAACCTGAGCAGTGGTTACTCGACGCCGGCATCGAGCACGAGCTGGGCCGCGACATGTTGCAGTTGAAGCAGCCGAAGTTCAGTAACGATGCCGGGTTCACGCTGACGGTGTTCCGTAAGCAGTTCGATTTCCTCTTAGCACAATCCATCTTCTCGCACGCCGCTCCGAGCCAGGTACGACGTTGTCTCTCGCAGGCGAAGTTAACGTTATCGGACAACGGCATATTCGCCGCGACCTACATCCCAGGCATGACGAGCTACGAAGGTGAATCGTGGGTCTACCCCGGCCCGGTCGAATACACTTTCGACGATCTATATCGCATGGCACAGTCGGTCGATCTGGCCTGCATTCCGCTCGATTGGGTGCACCCAAACGGGCAACGATGGGTGGCGTTCTACCATCCGACGCGTCGTCCGCCGACACTCGAACTGCCCCAGGCTCCACGTCCTGCTGCGGTCGAGTTGGTGCGCTGCCCGGAGAAGCCGACGGAGACCGAAACCCGCCGGCTAGCCAAGCTCAGGCGGAAGGCTCAATCGCTACTGCGGCGATTCGTTCCGGCATCCCAACGATCGGCTGGCTAGCTGGACGTTCTCCAGCGCTTCAATACCGCACGCCCTGTGAGGACTCTCTCCGCGCGGCCACTTGACTTAGCTGCGGGCAGTCGCATACTCACGAAAGCGAACGAGCGGGGCTTTGCAAGCCTATCGCAGATCGGGGCGTCGTGTGTCGCCGCGAGCGGCCCCTTTCATCTGGTAAACCGAATCGAGGAGTCGACGTCATGAGACGTGCGAAGATTACCATTGTTGGCGCGGGCAACGTGGGGGCCACCACGGCCCATTGGTGTGCGGTCGCCGAGTTGGGCGATATCGTATTGCTCGACATTCCGCAGACCGAAGACATGCCCAAGGGCAAAGCGCTCGACCTGCGTCAATCTTCGCCCATCGTTGGGTTCGATTCCGACATCGTCGGCACCACCGACTATGCCGACACCGCTGGTAGTGACGTGGTTGTGATCACCGCCGGCCGGCCCCGCACTCCCGGGATGAGCCGCGACGATCTGCTGTCGGTCAACGCCAAGATCGTGGCCGCCGTCACCACCGAGGTGAAGAACACCAGCCCCGACGCGATCATCATCGTCGTCAGCAACCCGCTGGATGCCATGGTGCAACGGGCGTTGCAAGTTAGCGGTTTCCCGCCGCAACGGGTTCTCGGTCAAGCCGGTGTTCTGGACACCGCACGTTACCGAACCTTCCTGGCCATGGAACTCGGTGTGAGTGTCGAAGACATCTCCGCTCTGCTGATGGGTGGTCACGGCGACACCATGGTGCCCATGCCAAGCTGCACATCAGTCGGCGGTATTCCGATCACCCGACTACTCGACGAGAAGAGGTTGGAAGAGATCGTCGATCGCACCCGCAAGGGTGGAGCCGAGATCGTTGGCCTGCTGAAGACCGGCAGTGCCTATTACGCTCCCGCAGCTGCGTCGGCCCAAATGGTCGAGGCAATCGTCCGCGACAAGAAGCGGGTCATTCCTTGTGCGGCTTACTGCGACAAGGAATACGGCGTCGGCGGTTACTACGTTGGCGTTCCGGTCGTGCTTGGTTCCGGTGGTGTCGAGAAGATCGTTGAACTCGATCTCACCGAACAAGAGCAAGCCGACTTCAACAAGAGCGTCGACGCGGTGAAAGAACTCGTCGCCGCCATGGAGAAGCTGACCTAGTTCTAGGTCAGTTTTCAGCTCTCAGGCTTGCTAGTTGCAAGCGTGTTGCGTGTAACTGCAAATTTCCGGCGCTGCATGCATGCACTGCTATCGCAACTCAGATCGCGGAGCGCGTGTTGTAACATCGCGTTCAAGAATTGAACGAACGCAAGGCAGCACTGGTGAGCTAGTTGGCAGTAGTAGCGGCACGGTTTATTCGCCGTGCTTGAGTTGACATTCACAGTTTACTTTCGGTAAAGTTCGACGCTGGAACGAGCAGGGCACTCCTGAGTCAAAAGATTCAGGTACTTACGCTGGGAAGTTGGCGTGACTCAAAAGTGGACGGGGCTCACCGCAGTGATAATCACCTTCGCGGCAGCAATCTCCTCGGCTGGCTTCGCGGGCTGCGTCGCTGATTCCGCCAACCCACTTCCCTTGCTTTATGGCTCGAAGCCTATGCCACTTGTCGGCGCGCAACCCTTTGCTGCTAGCACCGCTCCGATCGATCTTGCCGCACCGAAAGTCGAACGAGCTGAAGAAAGTACCCCTCCCTCGCAGTTGCCCGAAGTCGATGCGTTTCCCTCTGCGCTCCAGCCAGAACAACCCCTTCGCGGTTGGACGCACATTGTGTTTCACCACACGGCCACCGGCGGCGGCGACGTTGAAGCCATCGATTCTGTGCATCGTGAAAGAACAGACGAAGCCGGAAACCCCTGGTTGGGCATTGGCTACCACTTTGTGATTGGCAATGGAAACGGTATGCCCGACGGCTTGGTTGAACCGACCTTCCGTTGGAAAGAACAACTGCACGGTGCCCATGCCGGCGACCGCGCACACAACGAAACCAGTATTGGAATTTGCTTGGTAGGCGACTTCGAACAAGGGCCGCCTACCGAACGTCAACTAGCTTCCCTCGAACAACTGGTGTCCATGTTGCGAGACCAGTTGGATATTCCGTCCGAACGTCTTCTGGGCCATGGTGAATTGAAAGCTACCGCCTGCCCTGGACGTTTTTTCCCGCTTGAAGAAGTGATCGCGCTATCAGATAAGAAGCATTCTCCGGAAGGGAATGCTGTACCTGTGGCCACGGTCGGCACGTTACATCGCTGAGATAACCGCGGCGAGCGTTCAGCGCTCTCCGCCGAGATCAGCGACACCCTCCTTTCGAAAGCGAACGCCCGATAGTGATGAACCGAGTTCACTCCACGCCGAAGTCCGAGTCCATCTTTCCCGAGGTTCCCCTCGAACCGACTGTTGAGCAGGCTGTTTACTCGACCGACGAAACCCGCAATCCCAGTGCGGTGTTTGCACCTTTACATTACGAACCCAATTACGCGTATCCTCTGTTGGTTTGGCTGCACGGGCCGCAAGACAACGAAACTCAACTCCGCCGAATCATGCCCACGGTGAGCATGCGGAACTATGTGGCCGTTTCCCCGCGCGGCATTACCCCCATGCATCGGGGCAAACGCAAAGCCCCTCTCGCCACCTGGGACACTTCTCCCGAAAGCCTTGCGACCGCCTCCGCACGGGTGTTCGAAAGCATCGAGAAGGCCTGCGTTCGATTCAATGTCGCCCCGCATCGTGTCTTTCTGGCCGGTTTTGATCGCGGTGGGTCGATGGCCTTCCGCATCGCGCTGGCTCACCCGCGTCGTTTCGCCGGAGTGTTGTCGCTAGGCGGCGGATTACCCGTCGGCGGGCCGCTGCTCTCAAGGCTTTCCGAGGTCCGCTCGCTGCCGGTGTTTTTCGCCAGCGGGAAAGACAGCGAAGATTGCCCCCCGGAGCGGGTTTGCTCCGACCTGCGTTTGTTCCACTCCGCGGGAATGGATGTCACCCTGCGGCAATATCCCTGTGGACAAGAGCTGACCGCGCAGATGCTCACCGATATGGATCGCTGGATGATGGATCTGGTCACCCAGGGAGCCCAGGCTTAGGAGCTTGACCCTGCTAATTTGCGGGGGTACACTCTTTTCAACTACTTTGAACTTCAGGATCTGGTCCCCCGGGGCCGATCTCGTTGGAAGAACTATGAAACGCACGAACCTACTACCGCTACTTCTACTAGCGCTTGCTGGCGGCAAGCTGTAGGGTTCGTGCGCGACAATTTGAGTTGAATGATTCACACGAACCCTAAGGCGTTCTTTCGCCTTGGGGTTCTTTTTTTGGAAGACGATCGGATGAGATTTCCTTGCACAACGATGGCCACTCGGTGGTCGAATGCGGTAACGGGCCTGTTGCTACCCGCGCCGGCCAGGGGCCGGCAGTTGGCGTAGCAGTCGTTCCTCACCATTCGCATTCCAAACACATAACAAGGCGGTCTATACCCATGAGCCAACCTCGTAACATCACCATCTTCGATACCACGCTCCGCGATGGCGAACAATCGCCCGGTGCGAGCATGAATCACAACGAGAAACTGGAAATCGCTCAGGCCCTGGTCGACCTGGGAGTCGACGTGATCGAGGCCGGTTTTCCCATCGCATCGCGAGGCGATTTCGACGCCGTAAAGGCCATCTCAGAGTCGATCAAGGGCGCCGTTATTTGTGGGTTGGCTCGCTGCAACGACGCCGACATCGACCGCGCCTGGGAGGCCCTGCAACACGCAGAACGCTCGAGGATTCACGTCTTCCTGGCAACCAGTGCCATCCATCGCGAATTCAAACTCAAGATGGACAAGGAAGAAATCATCGCTCGTGCCGTGGCCGGGGTGCGTCGTGCGAAAGGCTACTGCGACGATATCGAATTCTCGCCTGAAGATGCGGCACGGACCGAGTTGGACTTTCTCTGCGAAGTGGTTGAAGCCGCCATCGACGCCGGCGCCACCACGGTGAACATTCCCGACACAGTCGGTTATGCCACGCCCGCACACATGCACCGCCACATCGCCACCCTCGTCGAGCGTGTGCCCAACATCGACAAGGCGGTGATCAGCGTCCACTGCCACAACGATCTGGGGTTGGCTGTGGCCAATAGCCTTGCAGCAGTCGAGGCCGGGGCGGGACAAATCGAGTGCACCGTCAATGGCATTGGTGAACGTGCTGGGAATTGCTCGCTCGAAGAAATCGTGATGGCACTTCGCACGCGAGGTGATCACTACAACGCCGACACTGGGATCAACACCAAGCGATTGGTTCCCACGAGCCGCCTGGTGTCGAACATCACTGGCATGCAGGTGCAGCGGAACAAGGCCATCGTCGGACGAAACGCCTTTGCCCACGAAGCCGGAATCCACCAAGACGGCATGCTCAAAGAACGCACCACCTATGAGATCATGCGGCCCGAGGATGTCGGCTTCGCCAAAACAGATCTCGTGCTGGGCAAACACAGCGGGCGGGCTGCTCTGGTCGATCGGGCCAAGAGCCTCGGCTATCACCTCACCGACGAACAGGTGAAGGTCGTGTTCGAGCAACTCAAAGACCTGGCCGACAAGAAGAAGGAAATATACGACTCCGATCTCACGGCTCTCATCGAACAAGAGATGCGAGACGTGTCGCAGGTGTGGACCTTCGTCTCGCACCACATCGAAGCCTCCTCGGGTGCCACGCCGAAGGCTTCGTTGGTCGTACGGCGTGGTGAAGAAGAACTCACGGCCGAGGTGGCCTCGGGCGATGGTCCCATCGATGCCATTTTCCTGGCGATCGAGCAGGTCACCGGCATCCAGGTGGTCTGCAAAGACTTCCAGGTGCACAGTGTGTCGATGGGCAAAGACGCGCAGGGCGAGGTCTCCGTCGAGGTGGAGTACCAGGGAAGCCTTTACCGAGGGCGAGGTGTGTCGACCGATAGTGTCGAGGCCAGTGCGAAGGCCTTCCTGGCGGCCATCAACCGCATTGCCGTCAACCCAAAAGACGCCCAAGCGAGCGACGTCAAAGCCTCGGCCACCGTGTGAAGCTGCGGTGAAGATGGTTTATGGCGAATACCTATTCCGGTGGCGAAGCGAGGGAAAATCCCGCTTCGCCGCCGTTTTTTCGTTATTGCACACCGACGAGCAGAAAAGGTCTGGCTGGGGCGCCCCAAAGCTCCGATTGGACTACCGACCCGACTTGAACCAGAATCGATCTCACCGGGCTTCGATCCTTTCATGGTGGCGAGCCTTGGCGTATCGTATGCAACATCCTCGGGGTCGGCGGGAAGCTCTTGGCTCGATGGCCCCCTCAGCGAATAACTCAAGATTGCCTTTGGCTTTAGCGGATTGAACGATGTCGATTAAGTATGCGGTGCTGCCCGTGGCGGGGCGTGGCACACGATTGTTGCCTTTGACCAAGAGTCAGCCGAAGGAAATGCTCCCGGTCGGTCGGCGGCCAGTCGTGCAATATGTGGTTGAGGAGTTAGCCTCCGCCGGCGTAAACAAGCTGGTCTTCGTCACCGGTCCCGGCAAAGAGGCGATCGAAAACCACTTCGATATCGACGACGAGCTGACCACCCATCTCCGCACCTCGGGTAAAGAAGATCTGCTCGAAGAGTTGGCCTACGAGCGAGAGCAGGTCGAGTACTTTTACACCCGGCAGCGACGCCAATTGGGTTTGGGGCACGCCGTGCTCTGCGCTCGGGCGATGGTTCACGACAGCCCGTTTGTGGTGGCTCTGGGCGATTCGCTCATCGGGCTGCAGGGGTCTTCCGATGTGGTGAGCCGGATGATTCACGAGTACGAGCAGCACAAGGCCGACGCGATTATCGCCTTTGAGAAAGTGCCCGCCGAGCACGTCGACCGTTTCGGCATCGCGAAGCCCAAGGGTGCCACCGACGACGTGTTCGACCTGGAAGACGTAATCGAGAAGCCCTCGCTAGCCGAAGCCCCCAGCCAGTTGGCCATCTCAGGTCGCTATGTGCTCAGCCCCGACATCTTCGACATTCTGGCTGAGACCGCACCTGGCAAGGGAAACGAAATCCAACTCACCGATGCCCTGCGTACGCTCATCGCCCGCGGCGGTAAAGTGCTGGGCATGCAACTCGCCCCCGGCGAGCATCGTTACGACATTGGAAGTTTCGACAGTTACTACCGCGCGTTCATTCGCTGTGCCTTGGCTGATCCGGCTTGTGGTGCCGAGTTGCGAAAAGACCTGCGAGCCATCCTGGACGAAGAAGATGCTTCCTAATTCGCGATCGGCATTCGGTGGTGCCCATCGTAGAGACCAACGCCAGGCGGGGTACACGCAGTGGAACTGATTCGTAAACGGGCGTTCGCCCGCGCCGGTTTCGTGGGTAACCCTTCCGACGGTTACAACGGCAAGACAATCTCGCTGGTGGTCCGCGATCTCTACGCCACCGTCGTGCTTTATGAATGGGACGAAGTCGAAGTCGTTCTCAGCCAAGAAGATCACAGCCGTTTTCGTTCGGTGGCCGAACTCGCTCGCGACGTAGAGCTACACGGCTACTACGGCGGGGTCCGGCTGGTTAAAGCCACGATCAAAAAATTCTACGAGTACACCCAGAAGCACAACATCAAGCTGCACGAGCGAACCTTTGCCGTTCGCTACGAGAGCAACATTCCCCGTCAGGTTGGTCTGGGTGGTTCCAGCGCCATCATCGTGGCCACGCTTCGCAGCCTGATGGAGTTCTACAAGGTTGAGATTCCACTGGAGATCCAACCATCGCTGGCTCTTTCGGTCGAAACCGAGGAACTCGGGATCGGCGCTGGTCTGCAAGATCGCGTGATTCAAGTTTACGAAGGCGTCGTCTATATGGACTTCGCTCGCGAAAGTATGCGTGAGATCGACGGCTTCGTCTGCGGGCGATACGAGCCGCTCGATCCCCAACAACTGCCGGGCATCTACGTGGCCTACAAGGCCGACGCCAGCGGGCCGACGGAAGTCGTGCACAATAACCTGCGCACCCGTTACGACCAGGGCGACCCGCCAATTCATCAAGCCATCGACCGGTTCGCCGAACTCGCCGCTCTCTCTCGCGAGGCCATCCTCGCCGGAGATACCAAAGCTCTGGCCTGTCTAATTGATGAGAACTTCGACCTGCGGCGTAAAATCATGCAACTTCCCCGCGAACAGGTTGAAATGGTCGAAGTGGCCCGCACTGCGGGGGCGAGTGCCAAGTTCGCCGGATCGGGGGGTGCGATCGTCGGCACTTTTGAAGACGAGGCCATGTTCTCCCGCCTGCGTGAGAAGCTGGAACGGATCCAATGCCGGGTTCTCAAGCCCACTGTTACATGAGTCGATGTAACGATTGAGCCTGGTTTCCCTGAATAGGGGGGGACCATTTTCTTGCTCGCCGGGCGAACGGCGGCTTAGGATGGATGTTTCCACTCCTCTTTCTTCAGGGACAGACTTCATGTTTCGCTTCCTTTCGCGAGGGCGCGTTGGCAAACGCCCCCGGGCAGGCATTGGAAAATTCACCCGCGACGGATTGCACCCCGAGTCGCTTGAACCGCGAACTATGCTCAACGCCAGTGCGGCGGGGGATGAGTTCATCGTGAATAACTTCACCGATGGCTCTCAGTCCAATCCCGCGGTGGCCTCTAACAGCCAGGGAGCGACCGTAGTTGTCTGGCAGAATTTCCCACCCAACGATGCCGCTGAAGGAGATCCAGTCCAAGGGATCTACGGGCAACTCTACGATTTCGCCGGAAACGCCGTAGGATCGAACTTTAGAATCAGCGAAGTTTCAGATCTGAGCGTTTTCAACTCTGCGGTTGAAATGGACGAGGCCGGCAATTTCGTAGTGGCGTGGAATCGCGGGACCATCACTCAGAATAACTTTGCTCCAGACGGCGATATCATTTTTCGTCGCTTTGATAGCGCGGGCAATCCGCTTACCGATGAAATCGTAGCGCATGAGGGAAGTTCGGAAGGTCGTCAATTCAATGTGGCGAACTACCTGGCGATGGATTCCGACGGCGATTTCATCGTCACCTGGGCTGACTTCAAAGATACCGGTACCGAACTACTGGCGCAGCGTTTCGATGAAACGGGCCAAAGCGTTGGGCAGCGAATTCAAGTCAATCCCCAAAAAGAGCAGTACTCCCCATTGCAGATTGCAATGGATGAGAGTGGATTTGCCGTGACGTGGGTTGAACAAAATTCAGACATAGACAATCCCGAGCGAGATATTCTCGCACAGTTCTTTAACGCAAACGGTACCGCACTTACAGATCCCACAGATATCAGCAGCGAAGGACATCCTGCAGTCAGTTTCGACTTTGATATCGCCCGCGACGCCCAGGGAAACACGACGGTTGTATGGGTGGCCCCATCTTCTGACCCGGCTGTTTTTCGAATCGAAGGTCGACAGTTCGACTTCGGGGGCACCCCGCTTGCCGAGGAATTTATCGTTAGCAGCGTAGTAAACCCGGGAGCAGGAAACCCGGCTGTCGATTACGACACACGCATCGCCATGAACGATATCGGCGAATTCGTCGTCACCTGGCAGCAATCGGGTGGACGTGTGGTCGGGCGGGCATTCGACCCGGGGGCGATTGGTGAAGGCGTTTTGTTGGCGTTCAACCTCACAAGCGCAGCCGCCCAACCGGAACACGGCGTGGCGATGAATGGCCTGGGCGATTATTTTGTAGCCTGGGGCGCAGGCACTGCCACGACCCAAGACGTGTTCGCCCGCAGAATCTTGGACGATACCACGAGCACCATCGGCGGCTTCGATCGCGATACGGGGATGTGGTACCTACGGAACCAAACGTTCGCGGGCGCTCCAGACTTTCAGGCCTTCCCATACGGAGGTGCCGGTTGGCAACCGGTCGTGGGAGACTGGAACGGTGATGGTCAAGATACCATCGGCGTCGTTTCTCCACTCGGCGAATGGTACTTGCGAAATACGAACAGCAGTGGAGATGTTGATATCCCGAAGTTCGGTTACGGACGGTACGACTGGATTCCGGTTGCTGGCGACTGGGACGGTGACGGAGCCGACTCCATTGGCAGCTACAATCGGGCGATCGGCGGCTGGTATCTGCGGAACACTAATTCGTCGGGCAACGCCGATGTCGTCATCCGCTATGGTGGGCCGAATTTCGTGCCCGTGGTTGGCGATTGGGACGACGATGGGGACGACACGATCGGCGTCTACGATATCAAGACCGGCACTTGGTACCTGAATAATTCCAATAGCGCGGGAACTCCATCGATCACGCCATTCCAGTTCGGTGGTCCCGGCTTCACCCCCGTGGTAGGCGATTGGGACAACAACGGTACTGATACCGTGGGTGTGGTCTCCCCCGACGGAACCTGGTACATCCGCAACTCGAATACGAGTGGATTGCCGGATATTTCTCCGTTCCCTTACGGTCACAGTAAGTTCGCTCCGGTAGCCGGCGACTGGGATGCCCGTGCGAACTTGCTGCTCGCCGCGGGGACTTCAGATCTAGCCGCTACAGCACCGCCAATTACCAACGAGCAACTCCAGCCCATCGTCAACGAGGCGATCGTACGTTGGGCATCCATCGACGTGGACGCCGCGCCGCTGCTCGCGGGAGTCGACGTTCGATTGGCCGACCTCAACCCGGGTGAATTGGGCCGCACATTGGGCCATACCATCTGGATCGATCGAGACGCCGCAGGGCAGGGTTGGTTCGTCGATCTCACGCCCGCCGACGATGAGGAGTTCACCAGCACTCTAGCTCAGGGATTGCTCAGCGCTGAGAATGGGCCAGCCGGCGGAAGATACGACTTGCTCAGTGTCGTCGCACACGAGCTGGGACACGTCCTAGGGCTCGAGCATGGCCACTCCGAGGGCGAACACGTCCATGTGATGGGGCCGTCGCTTTCAACTGGGTTGCGTACCATGCCTGTGGCAGATGCAGTCGACCGCATTCTGCGAGAGGGGTAATACCCAACTGCGGCGGAAGAATGTTATCCGCCGCAGATCACAGTAGGACAGGAAAAAACCTGATCTAGGCTCAGTCGATCTTCCACCAGTGATAGAGATCGGGCACGAACACCGTGTGCACCGAGGCCGGCCCGCGCCCCTCCGGCGGTAATGTGGCGATCAGCCAACCGCCTTGCACTTGCGCCCGAAACGCTTGCGGCTCGCCTCGACGATCCGAGATTTCGTGCCAGCGGAACCCTTCGACCACCGTGCCCCGTGGTACGCCCTCGGGAATGTAATACCGCGAATTTTCCGCCGCCTGGGCCTGCGAAGCGAACGGGGCCACCGTCGCGTCGCGCTTACCAATCGCGTGGCCCAAGTAAAACACCCCTGCGACGAACCCCACTGCAACGAGTCTCCAGAAGCGAGTGTCTTTCATGGGTTGGTGCTCCCGTTTCCGCGAGAAGATTGCCTATCGCATTCCGCAATCTCCATCCTGTTTGGACGGAAACGTAACCTCAACGAAAATGACCCGCCGGCGCGGCCTCTGGCTCGATGCACCGGGCGACTTTAATCAATAGACCGAATATGAGGGCAACCAAGTCTCGCTACGTTGAGAGTTCAACTACTGCGACCTCGTCGAACACGGCGTCGGACGGCCACCATCCCCAAGCAACCTAGCCCGGCAAGCATCAATCCCCACGTCGCCGGTTCTGGCACAACCACCACCCCCGCCGCTTCGATGGTCCCGCCGATGTCGATCGTGATTTCCAAGAAGCCAGCAGGTACATCGGGAGCCAAGAACGAAACGTCCACGGTGGTCGAGAGAGCCAACGGAAGTTGCAGCAAGACGTCGTACTGATTCGGCACTCCGGTCGGTGTTTGCAGCAGCGTACCCGTTGAGTCGCCCAGTAGAAAAGGTAGCGAAAGTGGTTCGGTGTAGAACTCGTAGTCACCAATAGCATCGAGCCCCAGGGGAAGTGAGGCGACGTTGAATGTGAAGTCGCCGTCGACCAACCCCAGCACGGTATCCGCCGCATCGAACTGTCCGCCGGGCCCCACGTTCAAGTCGTTGGCCGAGACGATACTGAGGATGGCATCCAGAATATCTCCATCGAGCTCGAGGAGGGGATCGATCAGCCCATACTCCAAGTCGCCCAGTTGTACGTTTGCCCCACGAAATCCCAGTTGCGAAGGATCGCCCAATCCGTTCTGTCCAACGAAAGCCTGTAGGTCGCCGGAGAGTGCCGCTGAATCGGTGAGAGCCAAGCTTCCGTCGAAGGCACTGAAGGATATCTGTATTTGACTGTTGGGCGTTAACGTTAGTGTTGCGTTGGCTTCGGGCGGTGCGATGTATCCCGGCGCGTTTCCGTAGATGTGCTGAGCCCCTGCGATGTCGGCAGGCAGCAAGCCTCGATAGCCCGAGTTACGGGCCCCGACGATCGACGGTACGCCCACCGAATGCTCTAGCCCAATAGAATGCGCAATCTCGTGCGTTGCCACCTGGTAGATGTCTTCTCGCAGGTCAAACCCGGATGCACCTGGCAAAATATTCCAAGGGTCGGAGGTATCGAAGTAGATGTCGCCGGCGTGGTTGCCGTTGCTTTCGGTAGGGTAGTAAGCGAAGGCCAAGGTGCCATTGAGCCCGTCGATGTTCTGCCCGCCAATGCGAATGTCTGATCCCTCAGGGCCGGTGTCTTCCACCTGTACGAACGTCACATTGGCCACTTCAGACCAAGTATTGAATGCCGATTGCAGTTCGGCCTCGAACCCCGCCGGCATGAACTCTTCCAGGGCCGTAACCGTGGGGCCCAGCGGACCCGGCTCTGTGGGTCGCAGGCTCCATGTCACTACCGCCCCTGTGCCAAACTCGGGGTCGCCCCACTTCTCTCCAACCGGAACGAAGTCGGCCAACACCGAAGACGGAATGAGCAATGAAAGAATCAGCAGCAATCCTAGAAAGCCAATGCAGCGTGGCACGCGCGCAGTTGCCATAAAACCACCTCCGAGCATATGTAGAAGCCACCTTGCTGTAGAGAAAGAACACAGACTGGCGGCAAGAGAACGACTAACAAGCGGTTACAACCAACTCACTAGCGTCTCCGGGAGGTGTGATGCATCGCTCACCGGTTGGCGAGCGTAGGCAAGAAATCGCTGAGGATCGCAGGAAGCGTATACCCCACGTTCCCACGACACAGATCAAATTACACGCCCACGATCGTGCACGCAAATTTTCGATATTCGTGGTGAGGTGTTTTGACCAATTCAGGGCTGGAAGTGATATCCGGCCACAAACAAGATCTAACCGGCCCTCACGCCGCACGTTTCGAGCGGCAAACCGTAGGGCTGCGGCCTGCGCCGTCGCAATTGAAGGGGATGATCAGGGCCTCATCGTCAGCCTCGATAGCAATCGCACGCACGGCGACACCGAGAGGTCGGTCGTCCGTGCTGGCTACGTTTACGTCGCTAGGACATGTAGTCTTTGGAAGCTTGAGCTCAACCCGAATGGTGTTGCCCGAGACAATCGGCTCGTTCATGGGTAGTTTCCCCCTGATACTGAATATCGACTCACCCTCAATGTGTTCGATGTCTACTCGCTGTCCAGCTACAAACAGCTCCAGATGTTCGAATAGCTCCGGATCGTGGACGTACGCAATCTCGCAATGCAGACAGAACAATCGCCCCTCCGGCACCCGTAGCTCTAACCAGGCTGTTGGCTCTGGCCCTAACCAACAGAAATAGCCGTGCCCATCTCGCTCGGGTGCATACCATCCAGCACCTCGAAAAGGGTGGGCGAAATCGACGCTCGAACCGACCTCGATCGAGCTCGCAGTTCTCCGTCGCGGCGTCATTCGGGCCCCCGCTTCATTCTGCTCCTGCAGTACCCGATCGAAGTTGGCAGCCCACCAGAGAAGTTCTTGTTGAAGCCCCAGTTGTGCTGTCTTCTCCGGCAAGAGCTCATGCTTCGCAATCACATCCCGGTATAAATCGACCAATCGGGCAGTGACGCTCTCGGCATCGAAAATATCGTGGACCCGCTGCGAGACCTCGGCTGCATCGTTCGCGTCGTATTGATCAATTCGCTCTAGCAGAACGGGGGTGGAGAACTCCTCGGCCAGCATTCGTCGGCCGGTGAGAATGCCATGCCCTTCGTCGAGCACACGATTGCTTAATAACGGCCCGCAGCCCCAGGTGTCGCAAAACACCACGGCGGCTCCTGCCGCAGCCGCCTCAAACGCACAGCGGCCTTTGGCGAACACCAAGTCGTAGTCGGCAAACAGCGCTTCGGGGTTGGTCGAAGTGTTCCCGAAGTGATGGCCAATGGAGTCAAGCTGAATCCCTCGAGCCGAGCAGGCGGCTTCGATCTCGTCCCGTTCGTGGGTGCCGGAGTAGCCACTGATTTGCAGAGCTCGTCGAGGACGAGCCGGCAGTGCACCACGTTTACGAAACCCCGCGAAGGCGATTGGGTTGGGAACGACCGTCACCCGGTTCGGCTCGATGCCATGACTTTCCACGAACCGATCGAGAAGAGTGTAGTCCACCGCAATGTAGTGACCGATTTGCGGCATCCGCGGCGGGGTATCGTGCCAAGCCGTGGCGTCGTGCCCCACAAACACGGCTGGAACCTCAGGAAACTGCACCAGTGCGGCCATGGTTTCCCAGGTGTGATGACCATGAATCACATCGGGTGCTGTGGAAATCTCTTCCAAGCGGTCGAAGACCGACAGTCCATGGCTCTTCAAATCATCGGCCAATAGCCCCAGTTTGGGGCTGAAAACGGTCGGGCAATGTCCCTGCCGCTGTAGTGCAATGGCCAAGTCGCGAACGTAGAGTTCTGTTCCGGTTCGCGAGCCGAGGCAACGGTTAACGATCAATACCTGCAACGAACTCATGCCGCATCGCTCGCCCGCTGAGAGGATTCTTCGTTGCTGCCGAATAACGCTTCAGCCAAAGGCGCATAATGTTCGTGAAACAGAATGGCCTCCTGGTAACGCCCCCGACGAACGTTGTCTAACCCATGGTCATCGTAGGTTTTCCATGCGTCGCGAAGCGGGGCGGTTCGGTAATCCCGCCCAAGTGGAACCGAGCGATAGAACTCCCGTTCGTACCGCTCCTGCTTCCACGTAGAGGTCGCATCCTGCACACTCGCATCGACCTGTGTCAGGTGTTGTACTAGCTCACGCTTGCGCCGCGATTGTTCGGCCGTGAGAATGTGTTTCAGAATGAAGAAATCAGGAGTGTCCGACCCACTAATTCGCTGCGCAGAAGTGGTTTGAAACGCCAATGGAAGGTCGTACCGGCGAGGCACTCGAAGCCATGAAATCTTGTAGGAGTCAATCGCCGCGTCGACCAGCAGCGGACATAAATCGTGCACCGAGTTGTACCACTCGAACGCATCAGTAAAGACCACCTCCGGCCGAAGCTGGCTTAGCCAGGTACCAACGCGATCGCGGAGTTCTGCGAACCAGGAAATGTCGCGTGCTAGCATCCGTCGATAGATTTCCTGCTCGGTCACTGGCAGAAATGTGACGCAACCTTCGAAACCTAACGATTGCAGCGATGTGCGAACCTGGGCTTCAATCCAATCGTTTTCAGAGTCTGAGCTGCAGGTTAGATACAGGATCTCTGGCTGATAGAGCTGGATAAGCCCCGCGGCAAAGAGTTCGTGATTCCCGTGGGCAAAGACCATTGCCGTGCGATTGCTGCCAGTCATAGGAAACTCCTCTTGAGCAAGGCTCAGCCTGCAAGGTTCGATTGTGCAAGCAGCTGCGAAGCCAGCGACCTGGCAAAATATCGACCAACGCGCCCATTCCAATTAAGTAGAAACTTCTGCTCGTGCCGATAAATTCGGATGGGAAATCTGGGAAACGATGCCGCAGCGGCTTGGCGACATCTTGAAGATGGGGCTTTCCCGCACCTGCGATCACACCTTTGCGAAGAATCGGGAGAGCGATATGTCGGAGTTCTTTCCAACGTCCAGCATCAGCACCGCTGCCCATATCGCAGCCGACGTCGAGGTAGGGCCTTACTGCGTGATTGAGGCCGGCGCCAGAATCGCCTCCGGCTGCCGGTTGCACAGCCATGTGGTTATCAAGTCGGGAGCCGTGTTGGGTCGCCACAACACAATTCACGATGGAGCCATAATTCATGGCGACACCACCCTGGGCGAGCACAATCAGATCCACGAGCGGTCGATCATCGGCGGATTGCCGTTGGTATCCCAACAGCCTGAGGTCTGCGGTCAACTCGAGATTGGCTCGCACAATACCATCCGCGAGTTATCAACCATCCAACGCGCTTCCAGGCAGCAGGGCAGTACGCGGATCGGAGATCACAACTTCATCATGCCCAGCGTTCAGATCGGGCACGATGCGCAAGTGGGCAACCACGTAACGATCACCAACTACTCGGCCCTGGCAGGCCACGTGGTAATTGAGGACCACGCCACCTTAGGAATCGGGGTTCAACTTCACCAGCACGCTCGTGTGGGGGCCTATGCAATGGTGGGTGCTTCGGCCTATTTGCCTCGCGATGTCCCACCGTTTGTCACCGTCGACGGGCAGTCTGGCTGTGTGGTGGGCCTGAACAAGGTCGGCATCAAACGCCACGGCTTTACCACTGAAGAAATGAATCAGCTCAAGCAAGCCTATCGCTTGATTTACAGAAGTGGGCTGAGTGCGGAAGAAATCCTGCAGCAACTGGAAGCCAAACATAAAACCGGCCCCGCCGCCCGCTTCCGACCATTTTTCCTCGCCAGCACCCGCGGCTACTGCCGCCAACGCCGCAACCCTGCGGTGGCGAACACCCGCCTTCATGTACCCATTGGGGAGGAAATTTCCGAGCCTGCAGCGTTGTTACAGCCCTGTGGCTGATACGAAAGGCTCCACCAGAATGCGGCCAGCAGCCGCCCCACTCAGTGGCCGAGGCGGGACTTGAACCCGCACGCTCCTTACGGAACTTCGGATTTTAAGTCCGATGCGTCTGCCAATTCCGCCACTCGGCCATTCTCGGGGTGGGTCCACGAACTGGCGCAGGCCAATCGCGGGGATTCGTCTAGAATCCTGTCTCAACTGTTGTAGTGCTTTCCCTCGCCGAGGGCCAGCCTTCACCGCCAGAACAATCAGGGGAGATCGGAGCATGTACGAGGGAATCGATGGATTCCTCGGCACACGGGCGTCGCTGATGCTCGATGTGGTGTTTTTGGCGATGTTCGCCGTGATTCCCATCATGGGCGTCAGCATCTGGCTCGTAAAATACCGGCAAGCCTACCTGCTCCACAGGCGCATTCAATTGACCCTGGCCGCCATCTTGGCTGTGACCGTGCTGCTGTTTGAAGTCGACATGCGAATTAACGGCTGGCGCGATCGGGCGATCGAGTCGGTCTATTACGAGGTTGATCAAACCTGGAACCCGGTGAATATCAGCCTTGCGATCCACTTGGTGTTCGCCATCTCCACCGCCGTGCTGTGGGTCGTAGTGGTCACTCGTGCGATGCGACGTTTTCCCAACCCTCCGCAACCTGCTCCGCACAGCAAGAGCCACATCTTTTGGGCCCGCCTGGCCGCCATCGACATGACCATGACCAGCATCACCGGCTGGGTGTTCTACATACTGGCCTTCGCCATGTAGCAAGACTCTCTTCCCCTAGCTTGCACAAATATTCGGGTACCACCGGATCTCGATCCGGTGCGGCGCAGCCGCCAGCGGCCCGAAGTAGTTCATCTCCCTCACCCTACGGCTGCATTAAACCGAACGGTGGAACGCCTGCCACCAAGCCTTCCCAACGGTCAGCTTGGTCACGTCTTGTCGCCTCCGGAAACCCAGCTTCGTGCAGCAGAGCTACCCGAGAGCATCAAGCCCACAAAAACTACCGCGGCTTCGCGGGCTTCTCGTCTGCCAGCTCTTCTTGCCACCGCTGAATCAGCGTCAGGGCATCGAGCGGGGCGAGCCGGTTGATGTCGGTCTCGCGAATCTTGCTCAACAGTGGATGATCATTGACACCAAACAGAGTGAGCTGAATGGGGCCGCTGGGCTTCTTGTCAGGCTTGCCGATCTTAGCCTCGCCTAAGGCGTCGATATGTTCTTCTTCGAGTTGGGCCAGAATGTCTTTCGCCCGTTCGATCACCTCTGACGGCACACCGGCCAGTCGTGCGACGTGAATCCCGTAGCTCTTGTCGGCCGACCCCGGCACAATCTGGTGCAAGAAGATCACCTGGTCGTCCCATTCCCTCACGGCAACGTTCAGGTTTCCCACGCCGGAACGCGAGCGTTCCAGTTCGGTAAGCTCGTGATAATGCGTGGCAAACAGCGTACGGCAGCCCACGCGGTCGTGCAGATACTCGGCCACGGCCCAAGCCAGCGAAAGCCCGTCGTAGGTGCTCGTGCCGCGGCCGATCTCGTCGAGGATGATCAAGCTGCGTCGGGTGGCCGCGTTGAGGATGTGTGCCGTTTCGGTCATCTCGACCATGAACGTACTCTTACCCCGCGCCAACTCATCGCTGGCACCAACGCGGGCAAAAATCCGGTCGGTCAGCCCGATGGTCGCCTCTTGGGCGGGCACGAAGCTGCCGATGTGGCTCATCAGCGTGATGAGTGCCGTCTGGCGGATGTAGGTGCTCTTGCCCGCCATGTTGGGGCCGGTGATCAATAGAAGCACGGGTCGATCACCACCGGCCTCCACATCATTAGGGACGAACGTGCCCGCGGCCTCCACGGCATCAAGTACCGGGTGGCGCCCCTGAACGATCGACAGCTCCGGCTCTTCGACAATTCGCGGTCGACAATACCCTCGGTCGCGAGCCAACTCCGCCAAGGCGGCCAAAACATCGATCTCGGCCAGCACATCGGCCGTTCGCTGGATCCGCGTCGCCTGCAGGGCTACTGCATCACGCAACTCCATGAACAGTTCGTATTCCAATTCCTGCGACTTGTCGTCGGCGCTGAGCACCTTCTCTTCGTATTCTTTCAGCTCCGGCGTTATGAACCGCTCGGCATGTTTGATTGTCTGCTTGCGGATGTATTCGGCCGGCACCTTGTCGGCGTGAGCCTTCGTCACTTCCAGGTAATAGCCGAACACCTTGTTGAAGCCGACCTTCAAGTTCGGGATGCCCGTCTTCTCCGACTCGTGAGCCTGATATTCGGCAATCCATTGCTTGCCGCCTTTCGCCAGACTTCGCAGCCGATCGAGTTCTTCGTGGAAACCCTCACGGATGATTCCACCTTCGCGTGTGGTCAGCGGACACTCGTCGGCCAGGGCTTCGTCCAACCGCTTGCGAACATCGGGACAAAGGTCAAGCCGCGACTCGAGATCGCACAGCTTCGCACTACGTCGGGCCGAAAGCTTGGCCTTCACGTGGGGCAGCAACCGCAGCGTGCGACCGAGGAAACTTAAATCGCGGGGACTTGCCCGACCGGTCGTAGTGCGGGCCAGCAGTCGCTGCAGGTCGTAAACCTGATCGAGGGTTTCTCGCAGGTCGGTCGATAGCTTCAACTCGCCCAATAACTCTTCCACGGCGTCGAGTCGAGCGTCGATCGCTTCGATATCGACCAAAGGGTTAGCGATCCAGTCGGCCAACATCCGCGATCCCATCGCCGTGACCGTGCGGTCGATCACCGAAAGCAGCGAGCCCTCCCGCGTTCCTTCGCGAATCGTTCGCGTCAGCTCCATGCTGCGACGGGTGGTCTCGTCGATCTCCAGCGTTTCGCCGGCGCGATACGGAATCAACCGGTCGACGTGAGCCAGTCCCGACTTTTGTGTCTCAGCCAGATAATCGAGTACTGCCCCGGCAGCGCGAATCGCGGCGGAATCCCGATCGCGATCAAACCCAAAGCCCTCGAGCGACGCGGTTCCGAAGTGTTTCGTCAGCGACTTCCACGCTCCGTCTAACGCGAATGTCCACGTGGGACGCCTGGTAACAGCGCACCCGTTGCCGGTGCTTAAAGATGCTTCTTCCGAACCCTCGGCGATGAGGCATTCCGAGGGGGCCACCCGTGCGAGTTGATCGCGGAGAGCCGAGGTGACGAACGTGGCGGCCTGAAACCGCCCAGTGGAAAGCTCGACCCAGGCCAACCCCGAGTTCTCGCCCGGCACCACTGCCGCCAGGTAGTTGCTCTCCCGTGGGTCGAGCAGGGCATCGTCGGTCACGGTGCCCGGCGTGACAATCCGCGTGACCTCGCGCTTGACCAGGCCTTTGGCCGCCTTGGGGTCTTCAACCTGATCGCAAATCGCCGCCCGATGCCCCGCGGTGACCAACTTGCCTAGGTAGCTCTCCAATTGATGGTGGGGGAACCCTGCCATGGGCACCGGGTTTTCGCTTTTGTCGCGACTAGTGAGTGTGAGCCCCAGCACCTTGGCGGCCGTCTTGGCGTCGTCGTGGAAGAGCTCGTAGAAGTCACCCATGCGAAACAGCAACAATGCCTCAGGGCAGGCGTTCTTGGCCTGCTCGTACTGCTGCATCATTGGAGTTGTCGCCACGGAGAAGTCCTCTCACTGCTGCACCCGATGTGGGCTGGAGGCAAAACTGCCAGCCCATTTCGCCACCACACAACGCAACGGCGAATGCTAGCAGAAGGGCCGACGAACTCTCAAGGCCCGAGATGTGCCTCGATTACGAAACATCGCAAATGGAGGCTCGACCAGGAGAATCTCCGGTTTAGGAGATCTGGCGAAGCGGGCAGGGCAGGAACGCAGGCGGCCCAGTGCTGGCCAGTGCGGCCGGTTGCCAGAGCAGGCAATTACTGAATCAGCTCTTCGTCTTCGTCGCCACCGCCGAGCACCACCTCGCCGGCATCCTCTAACTTGCGTACGACATCGACAATCTGCTGCTGCATCTGTTCGACGGCCGAAACTTTCACCGGACCGAGATAGTCCATCTCTTCTTTCAACAGGTCTGAAGCCCGTGCTGACATGTTGCCGAGGATCTTCTGTTTCAACTCCTCGCTGGCTCCCTTGAGAGCCAGGGCCCACTGCGAGCTTTCGACATTCTTGAGTACCGTCTGCAGTTCCTTGTCCGAGAGCTTGCTGATGTCTTCGAACACGAACATCAGGCGGCGAATCTCTTCCACCAGGTCGGGGTCTTCCTGGGCCAGGCTTTCAAGCAACGCGCGCTCAGTGGCTCGATCGGTAACGTTGAGAATTTCGGCCACATTGTCGACGCCGCCGGCGTTTTCGAACGATTGGCTCATCACGCTCGACATCCGGTGCTCCAGCCCTCGCTCCACTTCATGGATGATGTCCGGGCTTGTCTGGCCCATATTCGCCACACGACGAATGACCGCGAGTTGCCGATCGGCCGGCAGCCCCGCCACCACGTCGGCGGCTTGTTGGGGACGCAAGTGCGAAAGAATCAGCGCAATGGTTTGCGGATGCTCATCGACAATAAACGTCAGCAGGTTCTGGCTGTCGACCTTCTTCAGAAAGCCGAACGGAATCGCTTCAATTGACTGGCGCACGTTGTCGAGTGTGCCCGTGGCGTTCTTGCCCAGCGCCTTCTCGACGAGGTTCTTGGCCAAGTCGAGACCACCACCGCGTGAGCCTAGTGCGTTGGGGTTTGCTTCGGCGAACTCAGTGACAGAGACCGTTTCGTCTTCGTTGGTGATGTTGCTGATGCGTGCGATCTCGATCGAAACGGCTTCGACCGACTGCGGGTCCATCTGCGTGAGCAACTGCGCGGCTTGTTCCTCCGGTAAACTCATCAACACGATGGCGGCTTTGCGGAGGCTCGTAAGTGGCATGCCTGGAACCCTGTCAATTGCACGTGTATCCGCTCACGCAAGCTAGCAATGCGTTCTGCGGAGGTGTGTTGTCGTGGTGAAGTTCACATTTCGCACCCCTAAAAACCGCTGGGATGCTGCCGTGGAAGGCTGGCCGTATATCGGCGCGCCAGGGGCAAAAACTGCAGCCAAATGCCGCTGCCGGCGAGAACGATCGCGCCGACCTTCAGCAGGGGAGTCTATAGAAAATGGGAGAAGCAAATCCCCGCTCTTGATCGACCTTGCACCGCTACGATAGCAATGAAGTTCCAATCACTCTCGGCAACTAGGTTCCGACCGGAGCGGTAACCTCAGCCAGCCCGACTTCCAGGGAAAGTTCTCCCCAGGGGCACTCGAACAGCACGCAGATCGGCGAGACGTTCGAAGGGAAGCGAACCTCATGTCCTTTACCCGTGATCACGTTGGGCAGGCTGATCGAAAGATCGAACTGTTCGAGCTCTGCCTTGGCGGCCCCTGCGACCACGTTCGTGAGTTCACCCACCGCGTCGATCACGTCATCATCCATGTCGGTGTATTCGGCCATCAACAGAGTTGATGCGGCCTGCAGGGCGACATCCTTCGAGAGGCTCAAGACCACCGTGCCGATTGCATTGCCCGAGAGTCCGATCACGCCGCTGATTTCGTGTCGCGGCACTGTGTGATCTTTGAGCGAGAGCCCCGTGCGGCGAACCTCGCAGTTCACCATCGTATCGAATGCGTTCACCAGCGATTTCACGAACGGATTGATGTATTCAGCCTTCATCAAACAACTCGGCTCACGGGGTCATGGAATCGCAAGAGTTAAAGCTTCCTGGTGCCATTGGCTGTTGCCGACGACGTTCGCTGCGTAATTGCGGTGAGGGCAAATACGGCTACGTGCCCAACAATAGGTCACCATTCTGCTGAGTCAAAGAAACCAGCTGGGGGGCAGTACCCCGGCACAATAAGGGGCGGTCTTCAGCCACCGGTTGTGCCGAATATGCAAATCGCCACCCCAACCCCGTAGAACTCGTAGGTGTGGCAAGAACTGTGCGATTTCGACCGCATAGCAACTCATTGCCCCGAGTGAAGGCCGACCCTATTCATCGCGAAGTTCGCACTGAGCCAACTGCCCCTCGCATTCGTCCACTTCAATCCTCACCACCTTGGGTCGGATGCCGGTCCGTGACTCCAAATCGTCGAGCAAGCGTCGCCCGATGTACCGGCCCAGCAATTCGGTCGTAGTGTTGGGAACCGGCAGCAGAATGCAATCGCAGCGTGGGAAGACCCACCGGCGGTCTTCGAAAGTAACCTCGACCTCTTTCCCCTCGCAACGAACCAAAATCTTCTCGTGCTCGGTTGGCAGCAGCATGTGGTGATCCAACTCGTCAACGATGGCCTTCAGGGTGTCGCGAAGTGCGATGAAGTCGATGACGTAGTGGTTTTCATCTAAGGGGCCGTGCACTTCGGCCGACACCCGATAGTTGTGGCCGTGCAGCCGCTCGCAAACATCGCCGTCGTAGGTGATGAAGTGCCCTGCGCTGAAGACGAGATAGTCTTTCGAAATACGTACGAAGTAGTGTTCGCTCATCGAATGGTGGTCCGAGCATCGAGGATAAAGCAGGCTGCGGCATCGTCCGAACAAGACGAACCTCGCACCCGCACTCAATCATACAAGCCATACGGTGCGCGGACCACGTTCTCACGCAGCGCGACAAACAGCCCGGCAGCGATCATGTCGGCCGTCGTGCCGGGGTTGCGGCGGTGATGATCGCTTCGCAGCCAGAAGTCGAGATCTCCCAATTCCCGTTCGTACATAGCTTCGCCCGGTTCGCCCGACCCCAGCACCCGCGCGGCCAGCCAAGACGCCTTCCCCGCGACTTCTTCACCACATTTCCGCCGAATCAAACTGTCTGGATGCTCGGCCAGAACCTTCAGTTGCGTTTGAATGATCGTCTTCTCCAACGACCACCCCCGACCAAGTCCTTCTTCGATCGCAGGATAAACCAGTTCGAACACGTCCTTGAATCCATTGACATACTGGGCGGCAACCAAGTCACGATCGGCAGCCAGCCGCATAGCGTGCAGTAAATCGTCTGGCGCTTCTCCCGCGATGTCGGCCTCAGCCTGTTCACCCATTCCGCCGGGCTGAGCTACGCGAATCGCTTCATACACCAACTGTGAATCCGCTGGAGTCAGCGTCTTCAAAACCCGAGCGACCCCCTCTCGGAGCGGTTCATCCCGCGGCACCGCAGCCATGGGCGCGAGCAACAGCAGCGTGCCGAGATTCGTGTTTGTGGCCACCGCATTCCGCGTGGCGGTGGCGGCCTTCAGCACAGTGCGACCCACGCCCGCCTCGACGGCCTCCTCGAACGCCGGTGCGACTACGAGTGCCGAAACGGCGAAGTCAAAATAGGTCAGGTCTTCGTAGTCGGCCCCACGATGAACGTTGCCCGGCTTGACCGAAGTGGCCTCCATTAAGCAGGCCAGGGCGGCCATCTGCCCGGTGCTCAGTTTGCGGTCGTCGTGTCTCGCGGGATCGTGCTTGCTCATCGGTTTCGCTTTCAACGGCGAATGCAAAGAAATAAGGTTATCGCCTGGAGTATCAACCCACGGGCCTAAGAATCCCAGGGCACCTCTGTCGTTTCGCTCCGAATTCTCTCAAAAAGTGTGCGGATTCGGTGCGAAATAGAAGTGTGACGACTTGAGACCGAGCGGATTCGGCCCCGATCACCGATCCTTAGAAGTTGCCCTAATAGTGCGACCAGGAATACTAAACTTCGGGCTTTTAATACAGAACACACTTCGACACGGGCAACGAATACCTCGCGGTAGATTAACAGGTACAATGTAACTAGTCGGATCGCAAAGAACCTTTGGCTCCACTCGCGTTGTGTCCCCACAGCCACAATGCCCGCACCCTAGTTGATGGACCACCCATGAATAGCGTTCCCGCTATGATCGACGATGCCTTCGTGCCCGAGCACTTTATGAACCGCGAGCTGAGTTGGCTCGAGTTCAACGCCCGTGTGCTCGAAGAAGCAGAAGACGAAACGAATCCACTGCTCGAACGGGTGAAGTTCCTTTCGATCTTCAGCTCGAACCTCGACGAGTTCTTCATGGTTCGCGTCTCGGGGCTGCGTGAACAGGCCTTCGGCGATAGCGCCCCGCAGGACTTCTCACCCGACGGCCTTCGCGCACTGACCCAGCTCGATATGGTCTCGAAGCGAACACACGAGTTGGTGGCTGCCCAATACCGCTGCTGGAACGAATTGGTGCTGCCGCAACTTCGCGAACACGGAATCCAGTTCCTCAAATACAACGAATTGTCGTCCAAGCAATTCAGCACGCTCGATCGATTCTTCGATAAGCACGCCTACCCAATTCTTACGCCGATGGCGGTCGACCCGTCGCACCCCAGCACGCGTTATCACAATCGCGGCAATTACCTGATGAGCATGCTCCAGCGACGCAGCGGGCTGGGACCTCGCAAGATGTTCGCCGTCGTGCAGTTGCCATCGGTTCTTCCACGCTTGGTCCCAGTCGACTCCGACGATCCGCGGAAGTTCATCTTCTTGGAAGATGCGGTCGCCGCCCGGTTGCCCGATCTGTTCGGCGGGTTCGAAGTGCAATCTTCGACCACGTTCCGCATCACGCGAGATAGCGACATCGAACTGCTCGATCAAGAAGCCGACGACATGCTCCGCCTCATCGAGGCTCGTCTCCGCGCCCGCCAACGCGGCGATGCCGTCCGCCTGGAAGTGGTGGCCGACGCCGATCAGCGGCTCGTGCAGGAGATCATCGATTCCGAAGAATTGAAAGAAGGCGATCACAGTTCGGTCGATGCGTACAACGAGGTGTATGGCATCGACGGGCCGATCGACATGACCGGCCTGATGGGCTTGCTGGCGATTCCCGATGCCCACGATCTTCGTGATCCGCCGTTTACGCCTCGCGCTCCGCGTGGTCTGCAGCAGGGGAGCAACGAAGATCTGTACGAAAAGATTGCCCGGCAAGATATTCTGCTGCACCATCCGTACGACTCGTTCGACAGTGTCGTCGAATTCGTCAGTCGGGCGGCCAACGACCCCAACGTGTTGGCCATCAAGCAAACGCTTTACCGTACCAGTGGCGATTCGCCCATCACCCGGGCCCTGATTCAAGCCGCCGAAAACGGCAAGCACGTTACAGCCCTGGTGGAACTCAAGGCCCGCTTCGACGAGCAAAACAACGTCACCTGGGCCCGCCAGCTCGAACGGGCCGGGGTGCACGTGGTGTTCGGCTTCCTCGACCTGAAGACGCACTGCAAACTTTCGCTGGTCGTCCGTCGCGAAGGCACCGAACTCACGCGATACGTGCACTTAGGCACAGGGAACTACAACCCCACCACCGCGCTGGTGTACACCGACCTGGGATTGTTCACGGCCGATCCCGATATCGCCCACGATACCTCGGCCCTGTTCAACCTGCTCACCGGCTACTCGCAGGGGCATCGCTGGCGAAAACTCATCGTCGCCCCCGCCGACCTGCAGTTGCAAACTATCGAAATGATCGAAGAGCAGGCACAGCGGGTCAGGGAAGGGCGTCCGGCCCGCATCTTCGCCAAGCTGAACTCGCTGGTCGATCACCGCGTGATCGAATCGCTCTACCGAGCCAGCATGGCCGGCGTGCCCATCCACCTGGTGGTCCGCGGCATTTGTTGCCTGCGACCGGGGGTGCCCGACCTATCCGAGAACATCCATGTGACCAGCATCGTCGACCGGTTCCTGGAGCATAGCCGCATCTATGTCTTCGGGCCCGATGAAGAAGCCCAGGTGTACCTGTCGAGTGCCGACTGGATGCCCCGCAACTTCCACCGCCGAGTGGAAGTCATGTTCCCCATCGAAGCTCAAGAACTGAAGGACCGGATCCTGAAGGAACTGATCCCCGTCTACCTGCGCGACAACGTGAAGGCACGAGAGATCCTGGCCGACGGCGGGTACCAACGAATTCAAAGGGCCGAGAACGAGATTCCGATTCGTTGTCAGGACGTTCTCTTACAACAGTGGGCAAACGGTGTCGTCCTGCCCGACGGAGAGGCCACTCAAGAACAACCGCAAGACACCGAGGCCGCCGAGGTCTAAACGCCCCGCTGCTTACTCGAAGTTGGCCTTCTCAGCCAGGTCGGCCCAATACCCGCGGGCTTCCTCAAGCATCTGCACGCGCGTTTTGTCCGGTCGGCGTTCTTTGCTTTCTCGCTCGAGCAGCAGGTCCATCCACTCGACGAAGAATTCGGCAGAGCGATGGCTAATCCGTCGCGGCTCGGAGCCGACTTCCACGTAATAAGGTGCGGTCATGCCAAAGCGATAAGTTTCGTGCACGTCGGCCACGGCCCGCACCAGGAACCAGCCGCTCGTCTCAAACGCCAGCGGTGGAAGCTGCCCGGTCTTGGCCCAATCGCTCAGCCGCACGGTCTGCACAACCTGCCCGTTCTTGACCACTTCCAAATATTCAATCGGGTCCCCCGTGGCCAGGTTCAGGCTAATGTCGAGCATCATCGACCCGCCATCGGTCTGAAACACAGCCCCGGGCCGTCGTCCCGAGACCATTGGTTGCAGCAAGGGGCCATTCGAAACCACGGCCCGCCCTTCACGCAGCCCCTGCCACCATGCCTCGTAGGTGAATTCATCCCCAACGTAGACATACACGCGGTTGTAGCCCAAGGGGTTCTTCGCGACTCCCGAAGCACTCGCGGCCGAGGGCGGAACACGCAGCCCACAATTCAGCAGGTGGTAGTAGATTTCCTGCAGCCACATCCCCAGGGCGTCGCTACCCCGGCCCCACTCGCGCGGTGGCGAACGTTGTTCTTTACCCAACTTGGCCGATTCCCGTTCGAGCCCAGCAAAGGCCAACTGCAGCGAGTCCACTTCGTTGCGTGCCAACCACAGTGGTAAATCCCAACTAGCCGGCATCGCCACATCGACCCACAACTCGGGGTCTTCAGCACGCGCCTTAGCGATGATCGACTCAATGCTGTCAGAAGACCGCTTGTTGGCGAAAGCCTGACGATCAACCGGCGAAAGGATCACCTGTCCCGCATCGCCCTCAACACTTCGCCCCCAAAGGCCGGCGAACCGTTGACCTTCGAAGGTGAGCACCCCGGGCGAATCCTCTGGGGCCGTTCTTCCGGCGGTGAAGCCATCCTTCGACTCAGCGTCGACGAGCACCATATGCAGGTCTTCGGCCTGCATGAGCAACTCCAGGCCGGTCACATCACGACGCACCAGCATGTCGCCCGACCACCAACCGTTGGCAGCCATGTCGACCGCACGACGCAGGTCAACCGTCTTTTGGTCCTCGGCAAAGTCTTCGATCGTGAAGTGCCCAATCCGCCGTACGTATTCCGGCCCCCGATCGATCGTGAACCGGTAGTTGCCCTTCGGCAGTTTCAGCAGAATCTTCCCCGGGCACACAAAGTGATCGGCCCAATTCGGCACCTTGCTCACCTGCCGCGCACGTCCGCGATCGTTCTCCAAATGAATCCGACACGGAATCGGCTCCCCGCTAGCCTGGTCGACCACCGTCAGCTCCAATTCCCCACCCCCCGCCGCCAACCCCGAGCAGGGCAGGGCGAAGCCAATCGTGAAGACGGCAACCAAGATGATCAAACCGAGTCGAAAGCCACGCATGTGAACCAACATCCCGCACCAATCAAAAGCCACAAAACTCTCGGCATTCCGGTAATACCGCTTATGCAACTGTAGCTTGTGGAACCGGTCCGGCTGAAATCCGCGATCTAGCGTTCACTTCAATTGTTGAATTCAGCGGGCACAGCTGGCGCCGAATCAAACGCGGAACTAAGCGGCATTTAACCACGACGGCACAACGGCACGACGTTTTTGGTTTAATTGATCAGCCGCTTGAAGCCGTCTTTGAGAGTTGGAGTATTGAAGTTGAGCAGCAAGCCGATTCGTTTACCTGTGAGTTTCAAGTAGGTCAGAAGTTGAGCTTCGTGCAGGGGTGTGATGTCTTCAACCGACTTGATCTCCACGATAACGACCTCCGAAACCAACAAGTCCAATCGGTAGCCAGATTCCAAGCGTATACCATCGTATACAACAGGCATGTTGAGTTGCCGTTTGAAGGGAATCTCTCGTTTGGCCAATTCATGGCATAAGCACACCTCATATACTGACTCCAGCAACCCGGGCCCTAAAGCACGGTGGACCTTAAACGCAGCATCCACCAAATTAGTGACAATCTGCTCAGTCTCGTCTGGTATCGGCTCAAACACTCTTTCTCCAAACGTCGTGCCGTAGTGCCGTCGTGGTAAATTCGATTGCTGTTGAATCACCGACTATCCAGATGCAGGAAGCTTTGGTTCTCATGCCCGGCAGGGCGCTACTTCCCCTCCGGCTTCTCCCACGGCACGTCCTCCACTCCAGCTGCCTGGTTAGCTGCTCTCGCTAGCACGAAGAGGAGATCGCTGAGACGATTCAAATAAATGTGCAGCCGAGGATCGACGTGCTCTTGGGGTTGGGCGGCTAGCGTGATTAGCCGGCGTTCAGCACGGC